CCGAAGTTGCGCATTTTCTCGCCGCGTCCGATTCTTTTCTTTTGGACCTCTTGCCATTCGCCCACGACACCGCGACAGCCCTCAATATAACTGCCAAATCCCAAATCTGTGAGCGCCTGTTCGACATGTTCCACACTGATCGTCTTCTTGGACTCCTTCTCGGATATCTCGTTGGATTCGGAGGAGACCATGCGGAGGAACTCGAGCGAACAGGAAATCAGAAGATCGCGGGCCGGACGGGTGAATGTCATTTCACCTTCCTTGCCGGCGCCGGTGTTGTCATGAGGCAGCTGAGGCAGGATTTCAGAGATAATCTTTTGGACGGTGGCTTTGGGGAGAGACAGGTCGTCATTGTCTGCACATAGACTGTTAGCAGCTGCATCTTTCTCAGGCTTTGGGATCGCGAACATACTGCCAAACTCTTTGTCCGACATGATGACAGTGTGTATGGATTTGGTGTGGTAGTGGGATGCGTCCAGACTCTTAGAGGCTCATGGGTCCAGCCCAGGTGAGCGCGGGGAGGAACGAGGGTGTTAAATAGTTGTTGCGACATGATACGCGACAAGGCCAGGCAAGCAGCTTCCGAAACAGGCATCGCGCATTCTCGTCTTGGCAGCAGGTAAATTCTTTTTCTGAGGTTTCTGTCTTTCCCTTCAATTTCTCTTCGTTACCGCCATCAAAGTTCGGCACGATGAAGATTGCAGAATTGAGGGTTTCACGCGGCCTGCTTTAATACCTATCTGGCTGTCACGATCAGTGTCTACCACTAATGGAGCTTCATACAGAATGAAGACCTCGGTGCTCACCGACAGCCCCGACCTAGCCTGAACACGACACTTCATGCCCAGTAAGTTACTCCTTCCTCGCTCGCCTTCAAGCATCCTTCATGATGAACATTCGTGTCGCCCCTATCATACCAAATTGTGGTGATTACCTGTCCAAACCCAAACCGGACTTCCTGAGCATGCTCCATCCCCCAGATGACCCTTTGCTACCACACGATGCACGCAGTCACTGACGCGTTACAGAATACTATACGCACCTCTCGCTAGCAGCTTCAAAATTGTAGGGTGTATGTCCACCTTCTTCTTATCATTTCCATATCCATTTCCAAATGATGATCAACACTATGTACTATCAAATTCGGAAATGCACATTGACGAATACACCGGTTCGATTAACTGAACGCGACCCAACATCGAGACAATATTGCGCCTTCATTTGTCTTCTGGGATATGACCTAACTGTGGTTTCAGAAATTCAAGAGATCGATTGTAGCTGCACTGTCTTGCAACTTCGTGATGGTAAGTCTAAGCCAGCTCTTCCAAGACACCTTTTCATGATGAACACACCACTCTTCCATGCTAAGTATGAAGGTCTGCTGGATTCTAATGCTTAAGCTTGTGTATTCATTTTTCATCTTTCGCCTGATTCGGAGTTTCTTACCACAACATGTCTTGTCCTCATCTTGCGCGACGGTTGCTGACACGCGAGAACAGGGGCTTTCCAGTACGGTTCCACTCGTAACCTTTCGAATCTGCGCAGAGTACATGAAGTCATGCATACGTTTCTCGACTGGAAACCTCGCCATCGCTAGCTGAAGCCCAGGCATTCATCGATCTCGCATCCCTCGAAGCACTACCCAACCTGGTACTCGGCTAGCTGGACGTCATCCCAACTGGAGGTATGTCAATATGAATTCTGCGCAAATTATCGGGCCCACGCGCTCTCACCTCATAAACGACCCTGACAACTCCTTCTTTGCCCTCACGGCCAATTCTGCAATCACGTTTCCAGGCTTCTCGGGCGGCAATAGTTTTCCGTCCCTTTTCGCGCTCAAAAACTTCTGTTGGTCCTTCTCGTCCATGTTGTGAAGGTATTTCTCCCGGATCTCCATTTGCATGGCCGTGTCAACGACACCGGGACGGATCGATACTGTGGTTACCTCCGGCTCTTCGTTGTTCAGTGTCATGGTCAAGTGGTTGATGGCTGCTTTTGTGGCGCCATAAACCCCCCACGAGGGATACGCGTTCAAAGCGGCGCCAGATGATGTGAAGACGATGCGACCCTTTGCACTGCGGAGAAGCGGGAGTGTTTCCTTGATCTGATGGTTGTAGCAATGATGAGTTAGACTACGCCGCTTTGCTCGTACTGTAAACGTAGAATTACCCACTAGGCAAATATCAACATCATAAGCAGATTGAACTTACCAAAACAACGCAACTAGTTACGTTAATCCTAAATGTTCGCTCCCATTCATCGGCTTCCATCTGCCCTATCCTCAAACACCTGCCCAAGGTGCCGTGGTTCAGCACGAGCGCGTCGAGTCGTCCGTCGAACTGGACCCCTTTCAACATTCCCTCGACGAATTCAAGGTCGGCCATATCGCCGGCCCTGGTGATCACGCGGTCTGGGTGGGTTGATTGGAAATTGTCGAGGACACTGACATTGCGGCCGGCCAGAATAAGTAGATGCTGGTCGGGTGAGGATAGAAGGTGGTGGGCGACGGCGAGCCCGATGCCTGCCGTCGCTCCAGACACGAGAATGGTGCGTGAAGAAGGGTATTGAGTCTACGAGGGCGCGAGGGTTAGATGATAAGTATTCCCAAAGGTCTGCATGTTGGCTTGCAGTGGAGGCTTGGGAAGGGCTGTGTTAGACACATACTCGGTGCGTAGAGATGTAATTTGGCGAAGTTCCGAAATGATGTTTTGCCATCTTGACAGTTGATGCTGGTCTCAGAGCCTGCCTGTGGACTTTTCAGGCTCTGACAGTGTTAAAGCGAGACCACCAAAGACGCCGAGAGCGAAATGTGTGTAACTGGCCGGGTTTCTTGTCGGGTACGAGGTACACCAGCATTCGGTGGCAGTTGTTTGTTCTAATAGATACAGAACACTTATTAGGCTACTTTTGCAAGGGAGATTTGTGTCCATCCATCCCACGAATGACGTCAATTCCTCGTCCCCCTCCTTGTGTCCACCCTTCACCGTCCACACGTGGGATTGTGCGGCACGGGAAGAGCATCGACGGCAAGAGTCCAATCATCTCTACAGCGCCATTCAGCCTCGCCACCGCAGCAGCTCAGCCCTGTCCCCGATGACGGCGAACATGAATGCTCCGAAATCCGAAAAGCGGGGACGGGTTTCCTGGGGAGCGTTCAAGTGCCGGTGTTGCGAGTCTCATTGAATTCAGGCCCTACAAATACCAGGTGACTTTCGACCGAGGAGTGCTTGTCAGCGCTGGCCGATTCTCTATTTAAATCTCACAGGTCACGTTGATATAGCTTCACAGGCACTAGGAACTGATTCGACTGATACGGCTGAGCAACGGGAAATATAATCAAACCTTCCAGGGAGCCCCTTGTTATGGCCACAAAATTCCAAAGGCTCGTGAGGTTCAGAGCCTCGGACGGACAGATCTACTATGGCGAAGCCGGCTCAGATTGGGAGTCTGATCTCAAGGGAAAGGAAGTCCAAATCTTTTCGAGTCCTGATCCGTTCGACAGTGATTTTCGACTCTTGGAGAAAAAAGCCGTCGTTTCTGAGGTTAGAAATGTCCCGCCAAAAAAAAACGCACCCTATGGATTCCCAGGTGGATACTGACGCACTACAGGTCTTGTGCCCTTTGGAGAGGGTACCAATCGTTCTAGGTATTGGGTTAAATTACAGGAAACATGCTGAGGAAGCGGGTGTCAGTAACTAAAGACACTTTGAAGACAGTTGTGTCTAACGGGTTCAGTTTTCCATTCCAAGTTTCCCAGTTGTTTTTACCAAATATGCAGGTAGGCACGTCCGCGCATCATAACGGACATCACCAGTAAATCGTCCGCAGACACTCTAGCCGGCCCATTCGAAGACATCCCCATTCATCCGGAAGCAAAAGAGCTGGATTACGAGGGCGAGCTATCAGTCGTCATCGGAAAGGATGCAAAGAACATCTCCGAGAGAGAGGATCCCATGGATTATGTCTTCGGCTTTGCCGTGGGCAACGATGTTTCGTCCCGTTATTGGCAAGTCGCACCAAGGTCAGGCGGTCAGCATGGCCCTGCCAAATCCTTCGACAAGTTTGCTCCAATTGGCCCCGTCATTGCTTCTCGCCAGGCCGTCGTTAATCCCGAGGGCCTCAGACTCCGCACATGGGTTAATGGTGAATTGAGACAAGACGGCAAGACTGATGATTTGATCTTCGGCATCAGCGACCTCATCCGGCATCTGGCCAGAGGCACTACGATCAGAAAGGGCACGGTTATCATGACAGGGACTCCCAGGTGAGTGTTTTCAAACAGACAAGCTTGATGTGCCCCTAGGTTGACATGTGCTAGTGGCGTGGCTGCTTTCATGAAGCCGGCAGCATGGTTGCGAGATGGCGATACGGTAACAATAGAGATTGAGCGTATCGGCAAAATCTCGAATAAGATGGCCTTTGCAAACTGATCAATAGAGCTCAGGCCGGGTATAAAGAGCTCGGGCAAAGGTGGTCGACGCTCACAGGGATCTCGTTCTTACCAGAATTGCTGTTAACAGCTAACTCCAAAATCGGTTATATATTTATGCTTTCACAAACTGTCCGTCTGTCCCCTCTCAAAACGACATCGAATTTGGCAGGTTTCGATTGCTAAAAACTGCTGATTACGAAGATCCCTCTATGCGAAATTGACAATCTCCTCCTAATGCCTGACTAATAGGTTGAGTCTGTATGACCTGTCGAGTCGAGCTCTTGTTCTTTATACAGGTAAGGATATCACGTCATCCGCAAATACCACATCGAATTCGCCGTATTGACTCGTCTGGCCCCGCTTAGCGGGTGGAAGCCTTATGTCTACGTGAGTGTTTCACGATCTGAGTAATGACAGCCTTGCTCGGATTGGACGTCTCTGGAAAGCCTAGTTGACAGCGATTTCAAAGGGTGTACGTGGCTGACACGCATTCAACTTGGACAACGTATACAAAGGTATTGTGACCGTGCGGCCATGGACTTTTTGACATATCTGCTTCGCGACCAACATGATGCTAACCGTTTTGGCCTACGTTTGGAAGTTTGTGGTGGCAGCACTTGCTTTTGCATTTGCTTCTCTCCTGGTGTATTATGTGCCTGCAAGTCGTCGCCCTCGAAACTTCCCTCCAGGGCCGCCAGGGCTTCCGGTCCTTGGGAATCTGCACCAAATGCCTTCGAAAAAACTTTTCCTCAAGTCAGTCATTTCTATTTGGTTGAGGGAGTAATGAATCACCAGAGCTGAACGAGCCAGGTTTCACGAGTGGCAGAAACAGTACGGGCCAGTTGTTGGGTTGAAATTGGGCCCTTTGAACGTCGTCGTTCTAAGCAATTACAAACCTGTCAGGGAGTGAGTCCCCGCGGTGGCAGGGTCATCATGGTTAGTGCTAACGTGGACCAGGCTCTACGACAAGAGAGGGAATATCTACTCTAGTCGGCCCGACCACTATGTCGGCAACAACCTCATCTGTCCTGATGAGGTTCACATTCTCTTTCAGCCATATGGTTCAACATGGAGGGCACTTCGAAAAGCTGCGGTGGGACTTTTGAACGGTCCATCTATTGAATCCATAATTCCCCTTCAGCAGGCAGAATCGTCTCAGACCATGTACGACATAATGCAGACTCCCGAGCAGTGGTTTGAACATCTCCGCCGTTACGCGGCCGCCGTCATCCTGGAAGCTGTCTACGGCCAGAGAGGTGCCACTTACGACGACCCGAAAATTACAGGATTCTTCGAGATAGAAATGGCATTCGCGGAGATCATGGCCGCTGGGGCTACTCCACCCGTCGACGCATTTCCTTTTCTCAAGCACATTCCGAGCTTCCTTGCGCACTACAAGTCTCTGGCCGTGGCCGTGGGGAACAAGCAGAAAGCATTCTACAATGCTTTGTTTGACAAAACAAAAGCAAGGATGGAGCGAGGAGACACGGCTCCATGTTACATGCAAAAGCTCTTAGAGGGAAGCCTGCAGAGCGGTTTAAGTCACGACCAACTCGTCTATGTTGGCGGGATACTGGTATGACTGTCATTGCCACATTCCCACATGACCCAAAGCACTGAATATTTGTCTCAGCTAGAAGCCGGCTCGGAAACCTCAGCATCCAATTTGCATCTCTTTGTCTTGGCTATGATATCTCACCCTGAGGTGTTGAAGAAAGCTCAGAAAGAGGTGGACGACGTCTGCGGCGACTCTGTTTCGCCTTCGGCAAAACATATCAGACACCTTCCTTATATGCGAGCCATAATGACCGAAGTAAGTATTGCACGAATTTACCCTGGGAATTAACATTCAACAGGGGACCCCCGGCAGATTTTTAGATGGAGACCGCTTGCTCCAGAAGGCCAGCCTCACATGTTGACCCAAGATGATTGGTACGACGGCTACTTCCTGCCAAAAGGCACAATAGTCTTTGCAAATACCTGGTCGATCCACCACGACGAGTCAGAATACGACAAGCCGGCGGAGTTCATCCCCGAGCGGTGGTTGAACAACAAATTCGGTACCACGGCTGGGGGTGACACGGTCGACGGGGACAACAGACGGATTACCTATGCCTTCGGGGCGAGCAGGAGAGTCTGCCCAGGTCAGGAGATGGGGGAGAACTCATTGGTAAGTCGTCGTCTCGAGTAGCTCACTGCTGAAAGGAGTCCGCGGCGCGCGCGAAGCACACATTGTGCACATCTCGGCCACGAAGCTGACGTGGAACCAAACCGGCAGATGATAAACATGGCAAAGATGGTATGGGCTTTCGACATGAAAGCGGACCCTGACTCTCCTCCGGATCTCGATGCCCGCGCGACATACTCTGATAGCTTTGTGGGAGGGCCCCATGCGTTTCCCGCCATCTTGACCGTCAGGTCGCAGAAGCATCGCGAGGTGCTCGAGCGGGACCACCGCGAAGCCCAGGAGTTTCTGCGCAGATATGAAGACTAAGTAGGAAGAATGGAAGGCGGATATTTTGCGCGATCAGCAGGCGTATATCATCGTTATGCAACTTTCTTGATCAATTTGTCCTCGCACCTCGAGGTGATTTCCACAGAAATCACCACACCCTATGAAGCTCGCACCCGTGGCGTTGTAGGTAGCGGCCGAGCTCATCGCTCGAGAAGGTCACGGCTGTACATGGCTGTAGAGTCCCATCCATGCGCCACTCCGCACCCTAAACCTAGTCAACTCTTTCAAGTTGTGGGCATTGATGATTGACGGGACATCTATGCGTGCATGGCACCCTGCGGGCGCGAATACGTAACGTGAACCCTTTAACCTTGGAGCACAGTCTACAGTTTCCTACTACCAAGACAGAACAGTTGCTCTACTCACCCACTCCACCCACCAACCGGGGGCAGAGGGGAAGCCATTGGAGTTTCCGTAACGTGCAGATTGTTTTCTCGCTTTCCCCTTCTGGCGAGGCTCAGCTGTGCTGTCCGCACGCGCGGAGACCCGAGGTAACTATGTCGGGCCGTTCGTTGTCTTCTGCGGAGAGAACGTTCTGTCCATATATTATTATGGTGAGGGCAGAGCATTTGGTACAGAGAGACAAGCGGGCTTCCAGGCATCGTCTCCGCATCGCATACTACATACACCCTTTACGTTCGAAGGGATCTCTCTCCGTTCTCCTTTCTTTTGGGCCTTTTCCCCTGGTTTATCTTGCTAAGCAATGGACGTGCCTGGTTTCGCGCTCATCACGGGAGGAGGATCGGGCATCGGCAGGGCGTGCGCAAAGACATTTGCGCGCGACGGTGCCGCGGGCGTGGCATTGCTGGACTTGAACCACGACGGGCTCCTCGCCGTGAAGGCGGAGATTGAGGAACAGCAGCGGAATCTCGCCAAGGACAACAGCTGCAGGGTGGAAGTGTTCGTGGTGGACGTGCGGAACGAGGACCAAGTCAACACGACGGTGGCCGAGGTGGCGCGCACGTTCGGCCGGCTCGACTACGTGGTCAACGCGGCTGGTGTCGCGAAGAAGCACGAGGGCGGTGCGGCCTTTGCGGCGACGGACGACTGGCAGCGCGTGCTCGACATCAATCTGACCGGCACCTTCTTCGTGCTGCGAGCCTCAGCACGCATCATGCTGAATCAGTCACGACTTCTCTCATCCATCGACGGCCGCGAGCTCTCGCGCGGCGTCATCGTCAACTTCGGCTCCATCTTGGGCGCCGTCGGCGTGTCCATGTCGACGGCGTACACGGCCTCGAAGCACGGCGTGCTGGGCCTCACGCGCACGGCCTCTGAAGACTACGCCGCGCGGGGTCTGCGCATCAATGCCATCTGTCCCGGGTACATCGAGACGCCCATGACCACGCAGGACGCGCTCGTGCGCCAAGTCATGGCCGACAAGGTCGCCAACGCCGTCCCCATGCAGCGCATGGGCTCGCCCCAAGAGATCGCGGACGGCGTCGTCTACCTTTCTGGCGGGAGGAGCTCGTTTGTCACCGGCACGGCGCTGTTTGTCGACGGTGGATATACGGAGAGGTAGAGGTAGATGCGAGAGTTTGGTAGATGTGCCGGCCGCTTCTCTTAACACCGGGAGCTGGTGTCCTCACCACACATACGGCGTCTGTCTTCTCCCCTGACTCCATGGCCCCTTTCGAAATGCCTCCAAAAGATGCTAAGGACGGAGATGTGGTGCGACAAGGAGGGAGGTCTCCTCCAGGAAGGGCAACGGTAGAGAGCCATCATCAGCAATTCCAATGGTCAAAGGGTCCAATGTCCTCCGTATACTCCGTATACCCCATCCTGGGAACGCCTATGTAATGGATACATAAATGGGATCGAGCCTGAGCCGAAATTCCGCCGGATCCAATTCGCACCCACCAAACGGAAAGGGCACGGACATAATGTAAGGCTCTTGCAAGATCAAAATAAACTATTGACAAGTGATCATGACATTGAAATAAACCCAGACGGAGCAATTCAGATCTCTCAGGCGTGAGGGCGTAGAGTCGCCGTGGGGATGGGGACCTTCTCCTGCTTCTCCTTCTCCCTCTCCTTCCCTAAGATGATGCTATATAAATACCGAGTGTACATATGCCAATCCCAACACCCCCGAGAGAAGGCGAGCGGGGGTCCAATCGATGTACCGGGCTGGGCTGACTGACTGACCACTCAACCAGGCCTCTCTTTCTGGATCTTACTGATATTGACATAACTAGCCTAGAATTCAAGCTCAGCTCCTCGCGGGAGTTTCTAGATATACTTGCTCGGTCGTAACATGTTGCGTGTTGCTCGTTGGAAAAGATGACATGAAGTGGAAAGTGCGCAGTGATGACCCCCCTCCTCCGTTCCCTTCCCTCTAAGAGCTCGTATCAACCACCAACCACCAATTCCATACATGCCCCGCAAATGAGGAACAGGTCGAGGTGCCCCGTCCGAACTACAACCACAGGTATAGCTCCCTCCAGAGTGGTTAGCGCAACGAGTAGACGCTCACAGCCGGGGTGAATTCCTTGATCGGCCCGCGGGCCGGCGCCGCCGCGTTTGCAACGAGCTCGGTGTGCGAAATCGACGCCTCGAAGTCCTTCATCGGATATTGCAGTGGGTATTGATAGGTCTTGCGGGGACCCAGCTCCCTCGCCGTGCGACGTCTCTCGCGGAGGAACAAGAAGACCCCCACGAGGACGACAACGGCCACGGCGGTGGCGGCGCCTATGCCTGCTTTCGTCCCGCCCGAGAGACCACCGCTCGAACTTGCTGCAGGCGAATTCGATGGCGATGACTGTGAGGCTGGCGCGGGGAAGGTGAAGTCTGGAGTAAACGACGCTCCTGCAAATGCGATTTCGGCGTCATTGATGTTAGGATCAACCGTCGTATTGTCCGGGTTGAGCACTCTGGAATTACAGGTCAGCTACTGGATATATGGCATAGGGAGGGGTGGTTCTGCATTTACCCGTAAATGGTGTAAATCATGCCTCCGCTGAAAAACCAATTAGGAGACCCGACGATCCTGGCATTGTTGACAAAGACAAAGCCATTTTGGCTGAAGATGGACACCTCGGAGCCCTCGTATGTTGTATATTGCCCGTTAGGTGGGGCGTTTGGGTCAATATCCAGCACCTGGTCGATAATGTGGTACGCCACCAGGCGGTTCAGCTCTGCCCACGTCATATTCTGAATGACGTTGCCGACCTCCTGAAGCGAGTAGTTCATGGGTAGAAAGACGGTGACGTCGGACAGTTGATCGATGCTCACGTTCTGGCCGGTTTGCGGCACGGTGATTGCGGCCTCGGCGAATGCAGGTCCTCCAAGCATATCCTCTGCCTCGGCGGTCGCTTTGAAGGTCTGGGGAAGAGTCAGGAACGAGTCGATGATGTGGATGACACCACCGGTAAAGTTCAACGGCTCGTCCTCGGTTTCAGACATATGGAATTTCCCCGACGTAAATGTCATAGCATTGGACCATGGCGACCCCTTGGCCGCGACAATCTGACCTCCAGTGACATTCGCATACTGCGACCCCGACAGCGCCGTTGGGACAAGGGTATATTTGCCGGAGCTGAAGTCATAAAAGGTCCCGTTGAGCACATGGTAGCTCATCAAAGCCTCTGCGTCGGCCTCATCGAGGGGGATACTTGGGATGGTCGACGAGTCGGCCAGTGCTGCAAATGCATCGTTGTTTGGCGCCAGGAATGTGATATCTGATAGTCCTTGCAGCCACAGGGTCAGACCAGGGTATCTGTCCAGGTAGGTTACAAGCTCCGAGAGTTCCGCCACGCCATCGAGGGTCTCGATGATGCCTTGAGCTTGCGCCGTGACGAGACCAAGACATAGAGCAAGCGGAAACAATTGTCGGAGCATCATGTGATGTATCGAATCCAGAATCCAAGATCCCGAAGGCCAGCGTCACAGGAATTGAAGGTCGGGAGATCGAGGTTGCAGAGAGGAAGCGCTGGTTAAGAAGATGGTTATCTTGAACCTCGTGGGTTCGAGTTCATCCATCCCGTGATTGTCCGTCGCAAAGGTGGTGGTCACACTTTGCACCTCGACCTAGAATCCTTCCAAGATGGACGCCATGATTCGATTCGCCAACATGGGAACGGCGCAAGTGCCAGAAGACAAGCACCGAACCAGTTGCCCAATTGTAAGCATCTGAGGCCCAGGGGGATGCAAGGGGATGATAGGTCGACGAAACCTGCGACAGATAGCATGACGGCACGAGATAGGACGGTGTCGAAATGCGCATGTTTTCTTCAAATAGAGCAAAGCGACAAGTGAAAAGTGACAAGCGACAAGCGACAAGCTCCCAACCGACCCATCCAAGCCATCCCAGGCCATCCCGCCCCCATCTGGCTTGTGCTCTTCGACCCCTCGGCAAGTAACAACCTCTGCGGGGTCAAGGCACAACCAATTGGGGCTGGTGGCCTGCTACCCAAGGCTGAAACAAGCTGATCATCAGTTCCTCTCCCACGGGCATTGTGGCCCTGCCAAAACGAAGTGGGATTGATTGGTAGGAGGTCATGATGATGACCCTCCCGAACACCGAGCTTCCGGATTCGACATCTCAGGAGAAGAGGAGCTTGGACCACTTACAAAATCGGGCGAGGTCTTGGTGGATTGCGTGGCCCTGTGGCCTCAATCGACCGACCGACCCGAGCGAAGTAACATTCTGCGCTTCTGGGCAACTCACTGCCAGGAAGACAGTGAGCGCCTTTGTGCCCCAGGCACTGTTGCAGCCTGAGCAAGAATATGTCGGCTCCAGGGCCTCCATCTTGTGAAAGCGATCGAATCAGACCAGGATCAGAAATACCAGGCTTGAAAAGGCGTCAACGTAATAGCATTATATAAACGAGGGAGATTGATGGCCGTGGCCAAATTTGGCGAGGGACGCACAGCCGTCTATAACCCATCACGGTGCATAGTCCTGAATGTTTAGGTGAACATCGGGTCTCCCCCTCCTCTGCAATACTTCTTGTTTCCTGGATCAGCCATCATCCTCATCATCGTCCCCGCTGACTGCAGCCGACAAGCCAAGTCCGTCGAATGCGGCCACTCAAGGAGCCCGGCTCCCTCTAACGTCCTCACCGCAACCCCATGCCTGCTCATCGCGGCGGAAGAGCTCTCTCAACCTGCCACAGTCTTCCAACAACGATGGGAAACAGGAAAAGAACACCGATAAACAGCGCCGTCGCTCAAGGTCAATACTTCGTCTCGGGTATCGCTCATCCCTTTGTCGAATCCAGATTATAATAAGTAAAACGGGTATCAATTATCGTGTCTCGCGTTGCAGCAGTTGTCCTCCCAAAGCCCCCAGTCTATCAGTTCTCGCTTCTTATGCACTGTGCGGTACAAATGTCGCCTGTTGGTTGATTGGGGATGAAGAAGTTTCAGAGCCGATCCTGCCCTCCAAATATGCTGACATGACCTCTTGTTCCAATGATGATGCCTTGGAGAAGTCGGGATTCGGTAACGTCCTTGACGCCTCTTTCTGTTTGCCAGGAGCATTCAGGACTTGCTCCACCAATCGGGCACCAGACCTGACCGAATCGGTGCAAAATTTATTCCTACAGAGTAGATCATGGTTGAGTTGCAGCCTTGGCCAACTCTGCGGTGTTCTTGCCGCTTGTGACCGCGCGTAGCCAGCCTGTAGCATACCGGTCGCTTGCTATGCAACCTTCTCGTGCTGGGTGGACACGCGGTTCAACGATACAACTAGGAATGGAGGTTAGTCGAGGCATGGATGCGCTGTGCATGTCATCGGGGCCGAACTCACGAAAATCCTCCATATCTCTCTTCTTGAGCACCTTATTGGTCCGTGTCTTCCGCCCATGAACAATGTCATCGAATGTGACACTGTCTTGCAAGAGGTAATATACGCCAGCCATGACGCAAAAGACCCCGAATGAATACAGCCAAATCCTCACCACACCGACAATGCTGGTCTGTTGTCCACCAACGAACCAGCCGAAAAGACAGAAGAATGTCGCGAGGATGTCGACAAGTAAGATGGCGCCCACTAACTGCCACGAGGGGATGCTGGACCAGAAAGGGCCATTAGCGCGGGTGATGAAAATCAGCCAGTTCTCCGAGAGGCAGATCTGAAGGAACAAGACAGCGTCGGTGTGACCAAAATTCTGAACGATGCCTCCGTCATGGCCCCCCACAATCATTGTCGTCAGTGCAATCCATGTTCCCGCAGCTAGGACGATCCCCAATAAAATCGACATCCCCCATAGTTTGGGCAGGTTCCATTTGACTGGCGTCTTCGAGTAAGGGGCATTGTCATAGGCAATTGCCAGTGTGGCGATGTCAGCAAATATGGCAATGAAAACAACTAATTTCAGGTTGAGAGACTTGTTCAGAATCGCGATCCACAGCCCCAGGAAGATCTCCAGGTGAAGTGACAGGGCGATGCGATAGACGACGTATGCGTACATGCGGTGGAAGATTTGACGGGAGGTCTTCAGGGCGTCGATGATGGCTGACAGTCCGGGAGCGAGGAACACAATGTCAGCCGCTGACCGTGCCGCATCAGTTGCGCCTTGTACCGCGATACCAGTGTCTGCTTTCTTCAGCGAGGGCGCATCATTGACACCGTCGCCAGTCATTGCCACAAGATACCCTCGTTGTTGTAGGATCTCCACAACGTTGTACTTGTGTTGGGGGAACACTTCGGCGAACCCATCGGCAGCCTCAACGAAGTCGTAAACTTCTGAACCTGGCATCGTGCCGCCGCCAGCAAGGCCAAGACGCTCCGCATTGAACACATTGGTTCCAAGTCCTAACTGTCGAGACATTTCTCGCGCGATACCGACGGCGTCACCAGTCAACATCTTGATAGACAGACCGAGAGATTTGGCTTCGTTGATTGTCTTTGCAGTGTCATGTCGAGGCGGGTCAGCGCACGGCATGATCCCCAGTATCTCCCAGGAGTTGTCGCCTCGCTTTCTTGCAACGCCCAGAGATCGAAAGCCTCTAGCTGCGAACTCTGCGACCTTGTTCTTGTATGCAATGTCAATCTCTTCGGGGATCGGATGATCATCTTCCACCGTCCGAAGTACAAATAGAGGTGAACCTTTGACGCAGATTATGCGCTCCCCCTGAGGTGACTCAACGACGGTGCTCACCTTTTTGGAAACGGGGTCGAATGGATAGAACTGGACCACTTTGTATTTGGATAAGGCTTGCTTGGCTCGAGGATAGTAACGCAAAGCTTTGAGAAAGGCCTTGTCGATGGCATCCATTCCCTTTTTCTTCCGGGATGCGGCCAGACAGGCTGTGAGCATCATATCTTCAGGATCAACACCATGCACGGTGTACGGTTCGTGCAGAGAAAGTCTGTTTTTGGTCAAGGTGCCGGTCTTGTCCGAGCAAAGTATCTCCACACCAGCGAGCGACTCGATGGCAGACAACTTCTGGACAATGGCCTTCTTCTTTGCCAGATACGCGGCGCCAACAGCCATGGTAGTGGTGACAACGGCGGGCAGACCGACCGGAACACCAATGATGGTTATCGCCAACGTGAACCTAAGGATGGTGACAATGTCATTGGACCGATAGAAAGATGATATCCAGACCACGAGCAAGGTGAAGACCACGAGTGCGAGCAAGACTGTGCCGATTCCGTTGAGGACTTCGGTGAAATGGCCTGCTCCACCTGATGCGGCATTGACCAAAGCGGCGGCGCGACCGACAAAAGTATTATCTCCTGTAGCGGTGACAATCATGAAGGCCGTCCCTCGCTTTACGGCAGACGAGGCGTAGCAGGTGTCGCCTAGATGCTTGTCCGCTGCAAGGGACTCGCCGGTGATGGAGGATTGGTCGACCTGTAAAAAGGCGCCTTCAGTAACAAGCCGGCCGTCAGCAGGTATGATTGTGCCCTCTTCAAGTTGTAGAATATCTCCGGGCACCACCATAGGGGCCTCAATCTCGATAAGGTGTCCTTCTCTGAGGACGACAGCCTTCAAAGCCAGGGTCTTTTTCAGCTCCTCGACAATTGAGCCAGCTTGAAACTCTTGGATAAAGCCTACACTGGCATTCAGCAAGAGCAAGGCACAAATGACGCCGAAGTCGACCCAGTCTTCGAGACCAGCGGCAAGGATTGCGGCAGCCTGTGGGACAAGACATCAGTATAAGCATCGCCGAGATGGGTATCGGCGTGTGTCGCGGTGGGCAGCCATACCTCCATGACAAATTGAATGGGTCCAACAAAGTATCCGAGGAATTTCAAGAGCAGATTCTCTTTTTCTTCCTTCATTTGATTGAGCCCATACTTCTTTCGTCTGGCCACGACTTCTGGCTCTATCAAGCCGACGCGCGTGTCGGTCTGCAGCATTTCCTCGGGCACATTTCGAGCACCCGCTGTCTCGATCTCGGCTTCAATCTCGGCATCTGGATCGAGGGACTCCAACTCTTCAATGAGCGCGTCTAGATCTTCCTCCTCGTCATCGTCGTCTTTGTCCATCCTCGAAGCCTTTCGGGGCGTGAACATGACGTCGGGCTTCTCGTCCGGAACAACATCGCTGACGCTGACCTGGAGATGGGGGTGAGGTTTATCGGGGGCGGAATGGGTTGAACCCGAGGTACTAGCGTCGGAGGGGATGTCTACCATGTTGAATAAGATAAGGAGGAGTTAACGGTGCGTGCTATATCGACTCCATTGCGGGAAGAACACGGCGTAAGGATACGGGCGCCGGGCGCCGGAAGAAATAGTTGTGGGATGAGAACCGATCGGAGGGCAAGGTGAGGAAGGCGTTAGGCTGGGCCGCTCCCTTCAATCTTGGGTCGCACGAGATGGAGGAAGAAGGATACAATGATGGCCGTGTGCAGGCTGTGAAAATAATAGTGGGAAAGTACAATGACAAACAAGACAGAAGCAGGTGGTAAGAGAAAGTTTGGGAGCGGGAAAGGATCATGGCTCCGATGTTCACCCCCGCAATTTCGCGCCAATCCGTTCACCAACAGTGGTGACTACAATGACGACGGTTGACTCCCATACGCTGATCGCATAAGACCAAGATCGCTTTGAACACCGCAACCAATCGCCCGTGTCATCTATAGTCAGAGTTTCTTCCTCTACACTTGGCATGCGCCTTCCAAGACCGCAGAAATGTCGGCTGACGGAGGCGGTGCTGGGCACGGAAGCCGTAGCCTCGCCCGTAGGCGGTGGATGTTCCAACGATTAAGATGGACAAGACAAAGAATCCACAGCCTGGCATCACGAGATAGAAGCCGTGTAGGTGGGGCGACTGGTGCGACGTCGGATGTATTTCTCTACAAATAATACTGTCTGATCCACGTGTCGCAGCACGTGGGAAAAAAACATGTTGGGAAACCCATCTGGATCAAGAGCGGGCGGTGAGCAACACATGCCCATGTCCATGGAAAAAGCCTACGTGCACCCCGTCGTTGAATCTGCCCTATGTGGATCTTTTCCCGCCTTTCGATCATGCCGTCAAAGCATCAAAGCTCTACGAGCTCCCGCGTTTCCAATGCAGGACAAAGGTTGACCAACGAAAGCTGACTCGATTCAATCACAATCCCCTCCAATTAGGGCTATTCCATCCTAGTGACCAACTCCTCGATATGCTTGGGTATCATCCCGGGGCCATCACCTCTTTAGACCAGTAACAACATAACGCCTTTTCGATTTTTGCTCGTCAACCTGAACACATGCCTCTAGTCCTGCTTGCTTTGCGGTTGGAAGGCAGGCATTTGGAATCCAGGTGGGAAGCCGGGCATTGCATTTGGCATGTTGCCGAAGTTCATGGGGAAAGCCATTGACGGCATGATACCAATGTTGTTCGGGTTGCCCGAGCCTTGCCGGTCGTCTCGGTCCATTCGGCGATCGCTGTCTCTGTATCGGTTGTCGTCACGTCCCATATGCTGGCGAGACGATTGCGGCCCACGTCGTCCACCCTGGTCAGTAGCAATACGTCGACTCATGGCTGCAGACGAGTTAGAAGCTGTTTGCCATGTCAGAAGAAACCGCTCGTACCTTTCGAGGAGACTCCAGCGCCAATCTCAATGTCAGGCTCTTCCACGACCATCCCTTCTTGGATCGGCGCACCACCAGTACCCCCGTATTCGGCGGTGAGTAGCCACTTGCGGTCGGCATCCGTGAGGCGTTCGATGGGGATGACGCTAATTCCCGTTTGATAGTCGCTGCAGTCACGTGGTCCAAAACCCACTCCCCATTTGGTCTGCAAGAAAATGCCTGTCAGTTGCATGTCCTTATCCAATTCGCTGCCGTGCAATTTCACTTACGCGGAGTTGCATATCGCCCACCTTGTACTCTTCCATGCCTTCACGCGCGCTTTCTGCATCGTGGCGATTAATCATCTTGATGAAAGCGTGTCGTTTGTCAATGTTGACAATACAGGTCTGAACCACACCGAATTTACTGAATAAGCTTCTCAAATGTGCTTCGGATGAGGTGACGCCTCCCACGAAAAGGGTCCGACTGAACACCTTGATGTGACCTTTTGGAAGGGTTGGATCCCATTGCACGTTCTTGGGGCCCGGTGGTGGGAGCTTGTAATCACCGGGCGGTGTTGGGCTTCGTCGTTTCCTACCCATCGGGCTGCGTTGACGGTATTCGCCCCGCCTGCCATCGCGATCATTACGATATCCATCAGCCCCTGGACTATCTCGTCGGCGTCTTGGAGACAGGTCTCGACGTCTATCAAAGCCAGGAGAACGTGAGCGGCGTCGATATTGGCCCGGAGGGGAACGGGTTTGGGCATCACGTGACGCCACGGGCGCTTGAACCTGGCCAGCCCAATTGCTTGTCGGTACAGGAGGCGGAAAAGGAAGGCCACTGGTACTCGCACCGCCACCACCACCACCTGCTGCGCCCTGCATGTTCAACAATTGTAGAGCAGTGGCCCACTGGTCTGGGGGAACGCCATGACTAGCCAAGACTTGCAAGACTTGCAATTGGGCTTGAGCTTGAGCCTGAGCATCTTGACTTAGAGGAGGGTTTTGAGGCACCGCTGGAGCCGGAGCCTGTTGCGGAAGAAAAGCAGCAAGTGGATTTGCAGGTACATTTGCAGGACTCTGACTTTGCGCACCATTACTCAGTCCAGCGAACAGCGCTCCAAGCTGATTTACAGCCTGCCCACTGGCGGCAGCGGGAGCAGGGCTGGGGTTTACGGTACTGCTCGTCAGAGGGATCCCATTCTGCGCGCCTAATAGATTATTCAAACTAGTTTGAGCAGGTGCTGGAATGGCGGGTGCCGCTGTAATATTCTGCTTTGCCATGTTCTTGAGGGCTTCCAGGATGGCCGAGGTGTCTTGCTGCTGTGGAGGTTTTGCTGTTATATTGTCAGTGGAGGCTGCTTGACCCAATGGCACAAAACCGGGTGAGGGTGATCCTTCCGGTGTGGTTGAGACTACACAACAGTCAGAATGTTCCATCTGCGCGGAAGAAAAGACAGATGTTCAATGTACCTTTTGGCGCATCAAGTTTTTCTTTGAGTGAAGCAAGCAAGGGGGCTGGAAATGTGTTTGATCGTTCCCAAATTTCCAGGAGTTTTCTGATTTTGACCTAAACAAATGCGGATATACGTGAGTCTCAATCAAAGCAGACTGGTAGCAATATGACTTAGGCTGACATGTACAAGTGGCCTGGTCGCGTGGAGTGGAACGATGCACTCCAAATGTTTAGGAGAATACGACGGGCATAGAATGGCATACCTTCTGGTCTTCTGGGGCGGTAGCAATAATGTCGTTCATGAGTACGGGAAGCAGTTCAGTCACTCGAGTCACACCAGCGGCAAAGGTTCCATCAGGAGCTCCGCTACCCAGCTGTTGACCTGATTTTCTGGCTTGATCTACCCATTGTCTCGTCACAGAATCTATAACGTAGAGTACTCCCAATTTGTGTGTTCCTGGCGTCTTCTTGAAATGGGTATAGATCTTTTGAATGAGGACTGATTCGGACTATAGGTCACGTCAGTTACTGGAGTCGCGATCGACTGCAATGAGAGATTGACATACTTGAATGTTTGCTGTGCAAAGGGAGGTGATGGCAGTGATCTTTGAGCCTGAAACTCCTGGCGGTTTGAGGTTGAGCATGGACTGCAGGATAGAGTCCAGCTCCGCTACTGCAGAAGACATGATGGCCCAGCGAACTTTCCTACAGCTGTCGTTGACAACAGGGTGTTGGAGGAACTGGTCCTAGCTAGCTGGACGATGGCGACAAGGATGGAGATGAGATGAGCCGTTCAACGCATACGAAGTCTTCGAACGAGAAAGACGTCTTACAGACTCGAGGTACAGGTGAAGTGAAGGATGACGCGTTGTGCAAGAGTGTGGTCTTTCTCCCGAGTCTTCCCTTTCCTGCTAAGTGTAGATTGCGCCCACAAGACTTTCTACAGCGACGTGGCAACTGCGGCCTGGCAGCAGCAGTACTGAGGAACTAGCGGCCGTGTGCAGAGAGAATACTGGTAGAGGTACTTTACAAGTTGATGACACTATGTGCGTGACAAGGACGAAGAAAGGGAAATCGAACCCGATGGATCGTGCGTCGACGGGTGATGGATAAGTGATGAATGAGTGGTGGAGTGAAGAGAAGATTTGAACAGAGTCAAAGATGTCGCAGCCAGAAAAAGCGGAGGTTAGAGAAAATATGTCAGCCAGAGCAGCTGGCCGGAAGAACATTACTTCCGGAGGCACGTGATTGAACCTTGGGGTTCTCCTTCGGCTGCCTTAGGGCCCTTGGAGCCCTTTAGGGGCCCTCTAATTTTCTTCGGACTGCGAACTGGGCCCCTGTGGCTTGTCAGAGGCCCGCCAGTGCCACTGTTGGTTGGGTTGTTGATCCCCAATCGGCACACTTGACTTCATCGAAGGGCAAGGTCGTCCGCGATGCCGAAGCCTCGCCGGGCAGCCCCAATTGGACATTGAACCTTTTTCATCATCAAGCAGGGACAGCTTTCCTCCTCCCTAACTTTCCTATCTGCACCTTTAGTTTTTCCCGCACTCCTTCCAAAACCTCCCTTGACGTAACTTTCTTCTTTGTTTTCTTTGCTTCGACTTCCTCGTGTCGTTAATATCATGGCCTCTTCTCTTCGCTTGGGGAGCTCCCTGCTCCGTTCCTCTACCAGGCCTCTGGTTCAAAAAACCGCCTACAGCGGTGTCCGCTGCGCAAGCACCCAAGTGAGCTCTCCGAGCTGGTGTGTTGATAGCTGCTCTGCTAACGTATATCTACTTTCTTAGTCTTTGAAAGAGGTCTTTGCAGCCAAGCTCCCTGGAGAGGTCGAGAAAGTCAAGAAGCTGAGAAAGGACTATGGCTCTAAAGTCATTGGCGAGGTCACCCTGGACCAAGTCTACGGTGGTGCTCGAGGCATCAAATCGCTAGTCTGGGAAGGCTCCGTGCTTGATGCGGAAGAGGGAATCAGATTCCGTGGAAGGACTATCCCGGAATGCCAGGAAGTCCTCCCCAAGGCTCCTGGCGGCGAGGAGCCTCTGCCCGAGGGCCTGTTCTGGCTTCTTCTCACTGGCGAGGTTCCTAGCGAGCAGCAGGTCCGAGACCTGTCTGCCGACTGGGCTGCTCGCTCCGATCTTCCCAAGTTTGTCGAAGAGCTCATCGACCGCTGCCCTAGCGACATGCACCCTATGGCCCAGTTCTCCATCGCCGTCGTCGCGCTCGAGCATACCTCCGAGTTCGCCAAAGCCTACGCCAAGGGCATCAACAAGAAGGACTACTGGACATACACTTTCGAGGACTCGATGAACCTCATTGCTAAGCTGCCCACGATTGCGGCAAAGATCTACCGCAACGCATACAAAGACGGCAAGGTTGCTGCTATCCAGAAAGACAAGGACTACGGCTTCAACTTGGCCAACCAGCTCGGCTATGGTGATAAGCCCGATTTTGTTGAGCTCATGCGTCTGTACCTTACTATCCACTCTGACCATGAGGGTGGAAATGTCAGTGCTCACACCACTCATCTGGTCGGAAGCGCCTTGAGCTCTCCCATGCTGTCCCTTGCTGCCGGTTTGAACGGTCTAGCCGGACCTCTCCACGGTTTGGCCAACCAAGAAGTCTTGAACTGGCTCACCAAGATGAAGGAGAGCATTGGTGACGATCTCAGCGACCAGAAAATCACCGACTACCTCTGGGAGACCCTCAACGCTGGCCGTGTCGTTCCTGGCTATGGCCATGCTGTTCTCCGCAAGACTGATCCTCGCTACGTGTCTCAGCGCGAGTTTGCTCTCCGCAAGCTCCCGGAAGACCCTATGTTCAAGCTGGTCAGCCAGGTTTACAAGATTGCCCCTGGTGTCTTGACCAAGCACGGCAAGACCAAGAACCCATACCCCAACGTAGATGCTGTAAGTTTCTCCATTTGAAAAGTGTCATGGCTGCGCTGACCGAACATCTAGCACTCCGGTGTCCTCCTGCAATACTACGGACTGACCGAAGCAAACTACTACACTGTCCTCTTTGGTGTCTCGCGTGCCCTTGGTGTCCTACCCCAACTCATCATCGACCGTGCACTTGGTGCCCCCATTGAGCGACCGAAGTCCTTCAGCACCGAAGCATATGCCAAACTTGTTGGTGCTACGTTGTGATTGGGATGAGAAGAGCGGGAGCTGTACAATGCAAATTATACTTGTGTGTCTAAAAAGGGAGAAGGTGATGGGCAATACGAGGTCGGTTCTGGTTGTGGGAGGATCTGTTTCGTGGTTCAATTACGCCATTATTTAATTGACGAGCGTTGTTGGATGCGAATGCCATATTTTACTTCGTTCCCATCGCCTGCTCTACCTATGTTCACCATGCTTGAATGCTGTAAACCGAGCCGGAGGAGGCACCGTACAAACCCAAGATTCAGGAGCTACGGGGGCCGCGGTGGCTCTGTGAGACATGGTTGCATGGGCCGTGCGACGTAAATTTCTTGAATTTTTTTTATTTTCGGACGTTGAGAAGCGCGTTGGCGTCGTTGGGTGGCCCTAGGCAAGCTAAAAAGAGGCTCACTAGGCCAACCGACCCACAATTAGGGGAGGCGGCGTCCGAAGTCCAAAGGAGCTGCATGGGTCATGACGAAGCTTGGGGGAGAAAGGGTATTGACGGGGGACACCCTAGGCTCCGGGCACTTCAGCCACAACAATATAGTCCGCTCAACACGCCGAGGCCACAGCCACTAATCTGCTTCTGGCCCCAATGGGGGTTTGTCAAGGCGCCTGCGCCGATATTCTACGAAGGTCATCTCGTCTTCCTCGCCGAGGGAGCTGAACAAACGAATTCGGACTTTTTGAGTGCCATCACTGTCAGATTGATCGCTACTTTTTGTACTCCGTATTCTGAATCTCCGCTCCTGCTTTTTGTCTCCTCTACCAGACCATCCGACAGTAGCCGTTTCGTGCCTGTATCTTTGCAGCATTCAGACCTACACAACCCCTGTCGCCCAAGAGTTCCTCTGTCCTCTCTCCTAATCTTTGATCCTCAAGGCGACGAAGCCGACCTCCTCCCTTGGTCAGGGCAGACAATCTCGCAGATCTGCCAACGATGTCCGCTGAAGCAGTCCTGGCACCCGCCCCTCCGGCGCCGAAGATTGAGAAGAAACCCGTGAAGTTCAGCAACCTGCTCCTCGGCGCTGGTCTCAACATGTTCGAGGTCACCACCCTGGGACAACCGCTGGAAGTTATCAAGACCACCATGGCCGCCCACCGAACTGATACGTTCGCTGGGGCCATGTCAAGGATATGGGGGCGCGGTGGTGTTTTTGGATGTAAGACAAAGCGCACATATTTTGATCATGAGAACACCTCGGCTGATTGATTCCTCACAATGCACAGTCTATCAAGGTCTCATTCCATGGGCCTGGATCGAAGCCTCCACCAAGGGCGCCGTCTTGCTCTTCGTCGCCTCCGAGGCCGAGTACTACGCAAAGACCTTTGGTGCCAATAACTTCGTCGCAGGCATCACAGGCGGCATGGTTGGCGGTATGGCCCAAGCCTATGCCACCATGGGTTTTTGCACGTGCATGAAAACCGTGGAAATCACCCAGCACAAACTCGCCGCGCAGGGTGTGAAACCTCCCTCCACATTCACGACTTTTGCAAACATTTACCGGAAAGAGGGTATCAGGGGCATCAACAAAGGAGTCAATGCTGTCGCGATCCGTCAAGTCACCAATTGGGGCTCACGCTTTGGTCTTTCCAGACTGGCGGAGACTGGTATTCGAAGGGTCACCGGCAAGGAGAACGGCGAGAAGTTGAACGCAGGAGAGAAGATTCTCGCCAGCGGTCTCGGCGGTGGTCTGTCTGCGTGGAACCAGCCGATTGAAGTCATCCGAGTCGAGATGCAAAGCAAGTCCAATGACCCCAACCGACCAAAGAACCTGACGGTCGGGAAGACTCTGAACTACATCTACAGCACCAACGGCCTCAAGGGTCTCTACCGTGGCGTCACTCCCCGCATCGGCTTGGGTATCTGGCAGACAATTTGTATGGTTGCCTTGGGTGATATGTATGCTCTTCCCTTTGTCTCCTTTTTCTACGAGCATTAACTAACCTTTGAACAGTGCCAAGGAGGCTGTCGAGAAACTCACTGGCGAAAAAGTGACCGCGAAGCACTAGGTGACATACTTAGCGTTCTGGATTGGACGGATCCACCCAGGATTGCTCGGGTGGATCCAATCGAGTCGGACGGGGATGAGCTTGGGCTGGTATTGTCTTTGACAGACTGGTACCTCCGTCTTAAGCAGCATGATTCATCCTTCTCTTGTGGCCTTTCGCGTGGATATGTTTGCGCCATGCCCGCGGAAGATGACTTATAGAAGTTTCGGTTATGGCGTGTCCTGGCGTTGCTCTTCTGCCCTGAACGACATAAAAATCTTTGCCGGTTTTTTTTTTTGGTTTCCTTCGTATTGTTTGTTATGTTATTGATTGTCTGGACACGCACAGCACCAGTCACTGTGAGACGTTATTCAAGGGAACAGGGCATAGAGAGTGGTTGGTTCATCATGAGGGTCTTGGGCAGTTGAGATCGAGCACTCAGTCCTGTGGGCCCCAGGGGCACCAGGGCTTGTTCTATATCGAGTACATAGTACTGCAACAGAATGAGCTTATGCCGGGGACTCTTGCCCACGACCCTTTTTTATTTTATTGGTTTCTTTAAAAAAAAAAAAAAATCTTTTGGTTTCTCTTCTTTTGATGCGAATCCCAGAAAAGGGGGGTGAGCGGTTCTGGGATCCCAGTGCCACAAACTGCCTCCGGACTACCCGCATATCCTCCACCTACATGCCTCTGTGGTTCGGCATTCACTACTGCCTCACACAGTCGATATCTAGTAGGTACATTGCGGTAAGTAAGGTAGGAAGCGGTGAGGTAGGTACGTAGCGCGTGTGTTGACTCCAGGCTTCAGTCGTCACGCCTCACGCTTTCCATGTCTTGTCAGGACGCCCGTCCCGTGACAAGGAAGATTGGGCAGTTGACGACGAGAAGTGGTGATGAGATTGACAACGACCAGATGCGTGGATTTCACTGCGTGAAGTGCTGCTCAGGCACGCGGAATAGAGGCTCGTTGGATTCCTGTCGCTGTGATCACGTCTCTTTCGCTCTTTCTCTCTCTCTTACACACTGTTGACCTTGTCCTCATCACAGGATCGAGGTTGTGCTCTCAACCAAAAAGACCACCACCATCATCAACAGACACAAACTTTCTCATCATGGCTTTCGCTCTCGCTATCAAGAACTTCGCCATCTTCGTCGCCGTGCTGGCTGTCGCGATGCTGGTGAATGTGAACCTCGTCGCAGCCATGCCGTCAACGGACCTCTCTGTCGCGAGCCCTGCTCGACTTCGTCTGGCTCCGCGCAACATCACCCAACAGGCTGGTTGCCCACCAGGACAATCCCCAAACCAAGCTGGCTGGTCAGTGGCAACTTTGCATTTCTGGCCCTGTCCCATGCACAAAAAACTCCGTCTTTCTCCAATTCAAAAGATGTTCTTGTTTTGTTGGCGAATGTGAATCTAACCTGGAAACAGCTCCTCCTGCGCCGAGTGCTGCATCTTCGAGTTCAACGACGCCGGCTGCGGTCAACATTCCGTCGAAGAGTACGTCCTCAACGATTACAACTGCCATTCTCTCTTGATCGACATGAACAACGTCTGGATCACCGAATGCACTGGCTCATTTGTAGAGTGCATGCTCTGGAAGAATCATGACTGCAGCGGTGAAGATAGCTGGGGCATCGACAACACCAAGGATGTTTGCCATCATACGCAGTATTGGATCGGGGCAATTCAGTGCTATGAAAGTGACGAGGAGAAGCAGTTGGCTATCGCGAGGGCGAGGCGGTTGAACAAATAGGGCATACGCAGGGAGGTGCGCGGGTAGTGGTCATGAAGGAGAAAGTCATCACGACCAGAGGTAGCATCCGATGCCGTGTGTCCAAGTTGAAACGATCGAATCGACACTCCAAGTTCACGGGAAGTGAACTGGTGAGCTCTTGGAGCAAGCTTCTCTCCCCCAATGTCTGGGGACGTGAGGGTGGCCAATATAGTCAGAGGCAAGAGCTTGTCTCCTAGGTACTTGGCCATCATGGCCGCTCTCCATAGAAAAATCATCAGAACTCGAATTCGTGATGCCATATTTCGAGGACCGGATGCTGAAGGAATGCCCATCGCCGAATGTCTTTGGACCTTGCTTGGCACTGTATCCGATTCTTCTATGGCAACACAATGTATTTCTGTAAATGTTGCGGTATAGCTTCTCTCAGATTCTTACTCTTCAGCCACTTGTCGCTGAACAGCCGTTCCGCATATCTGTATGCTCCGTCGCATAAGACGGTGACAACGGTATGATTGGGCCCCAACTTCTCGGCAACCTCTTTCGCGGCGACCACATTCAATGCACTGCTGGCTCCCAGGTAAAGTCCCTCTTCGTCCAGGCAGCGGTATACCATCGCAATAGATTTCTCGTCGGAGATATACAATGCGCCGTCAAGCTCGTTGACTTCCTGCTTCAGGTTGTCAGTCACGCGACCTTGACCGATGCCTTCAGTGATGCTGCTCCCCGTTCTCTCTTTGAGCTTGCCGCCGGAACTGATGTAGGAATAGAGAACCGAGCCAGGAGGATCTGCCAAGAAGCACTTGACGGAATGGTTGCTGACGTCCTTGAGGTACCGAGTGACGCCGGCAAGTGTCCCACCAGTTCCAGTCGAACAGGTGAAAGCGTCAATTTTGCCATCGGTCTGGGCCCAGATCTCTGGACCTGTCGTTACAATATGCGCTAGTCGATTGGCGACATTATCGAACTGGTTTGTCCACACAGCACCGTGCTCGGGATCTTCCTTCCGGAGCCTCTCGGCATGTCGTTTTGCTTGCCAGTTATAGTTCTCCGGGTTTTCCCATGCAACGGCTGGAACAGGATAGACTTCTGCGCCCAGCAGCCTCAGGAGGTCGATCTTGCCTTGAGACTGGGTGTTCGGCATATAAATGACCAGTTTGTATCCCCTCGCTCGGCAGACATGTGCCAAACCAATGCCGGTATTGCCGGCAGTTCCTTCGACGACAGTGCCTCCAGGTTTCAGCAGACCTCGCTCTTCCGCATCTTTCACAACATATAGAGCTGCGCGGTCCTTGATGCTACCGCCCGGGTTTTGGAACTCGGCCTTACCCAGGATGCTGCACCCCGTTTCGGCGGAGAGCTTATGCAGTTTTATGAGGGGAGTGTTGCCAATCGCTGTAGTCCAGTCAGGATTGACATTCGTGTCTTGAAAGACATCTACTGGGACATACCTCCTGTTAACGTGTCAACCACTCCTTGAGCTTTGGAGACGCGGATATGGTAGGGATTGGGCGACTCGGCAGTTGCTGCACGGACAGCTGTCGTAGCAAAGCGTCGTATTGACGTCTTCCAAGCGTGGGCCATGACTGAAGGAAGGGTGCCGGCAAAAGGGGATCAGAATGCAGGAGATTGACACGCACGAGTCTTCCAAGGGGCTCGTGCGTCCAGATGCTGCATGCCCCCAAAACCGAAAAGAAGGGGGGAAGATCAGAGAGACGAGCAGCTGCATAGAAGGGAAAAAATCTCCAATTGCATCGTTCTGATCATCCCACCAAGCACCGCATAATTGTCCGAGGCTGCTGACATAATAATGCTGGGGACACGTGCAACTCCTTTTTCAACGCCTTGAACTCCCTCTCTCGAGCATCAAGTACTGGAGAACAGGGCCACATGCAACCCTCTACAAAACTCCGAAAAATATCAGATCAACTGCCTCAGCCTTGTGGATCTGAATACTCTCGGATTGATGAATAGGATGTCTACCGCTTCAAATCCTTCAAGCATTCCCGGACAGGAAGAGCTCAGAGGGATAAGCGCTCAACTGTGCAATCGACCTCCCTCCATCCATCCAAGCAAAGTTCCTCTACCGTGTGCTGTATTATGAAGAAACCAGCCGCCTCCGTCGGCAACCTTGTTCAACCGGAAAACACCACTGCATCTCGGACTTATCCGCTCGATGTCCGTCTTCAACCTGTGATCCTTGACTCTGCAAATGGTCCAAAGCTCAACCCACAATGTGATCTTGTATTTGTATGAAGTGGTGAGTCCTAAATCTCTCGTTATCGTCCTGTCAAGCTGCCCTCAGCCTTGGCTACTGGGCTGTTTCTGCGAGTCCATTTGCGTGCTCGTCTACACTCCGGAGCATTTTCACGAGAACAACCGGGCCAGGATTACAAGTAGCTTAGTCCTGATCCAAAGCAAAGCAAAACCGTCTTCCATATACTCAGTATATCTTGGCTTGGTGATTACAGACTATGGATCTTGACCTCATCATCAAAAACGCCACCATCGTAAGTCCCGCCCTCATGACCAAGATCTAGCCCCATCCAACCGCTATACAAGGCTGAGACGCCCTCCATTGAAAGGTCACTGCCACCGAAATCCTTCAACCAGGTCTCAGCATCGGAATAAAATCAGGCCAGATCGTCGCCATTGCCTTTTCTCTTCCAGCGGACGCCGATACCCAAATCATCGACGCTGAGGGCGCATACGTGACTCCTGGCGGCGTCGATTCGCACGTGCATTTACACCAAGACAACGCTCCGACAGGCGACAAATGGCTCTCTGGATCCCGCTCGGCGCTCTGTGGCGGAAATACCACAATTCTTGCATTTGCGACTCAAAAGCGAACAGACGAGAGTCTGTTTCCTGTGCTAGAGGACTATCATTCCCGCGCAGCCGGCCAGAGTTTCGTGGACTACGGATTCCATTTGATCCTCACTAAACCAAGTCCAGAAATCCTGGGTCGGGCAGTCAAGGCAAAGGTCGATGGTGAGCCCGACTCTGAGAATGAAGGAGAGTTGAAAAGAATGGTTGAGGAGGAAGGCGTCACGAGCGTCAAGTTGTACATGACCTACCCGGCCTTCAGATTGGGGGATAAAGAGATGCTGGAGGTGTTGATGAGGTGCAGAGAAGTAGGCATGACGGTCATGGTGCATGCTGAGAATGCGGATATGATTGATATGTACGTTCCATTTTTCTGAATTGGTTCCGATCAAAGACTGGCAGTGATTGTTGAGCGTGGGCCGCACTGACCACCATATCAGGATAACGACTCGTCTCCTGCAAAACTCTCATACACTTCCGAAATTCCACGCCCTCGCGCGCCCTCAGATCGCCGAGTCGGAAGCAACCCATCGCGCCATCTCGCTGTCCACCCTCACATCCACGCCAATCCTGATCGTACACATGTCCAGCCCCGTCGCCCTTTCCCATGCAAGGAAAGCACAATCAAAGTCGATGCTGCCCATCCACGCAGAGACATGTCCGCATTATATGTATTTGCTATCGGAGAGGCTGGCCGTGACCAGATTTCCCGTCGTTGGTGATGCCGATGGTGGCCATAGTCATGAGCATGGAGTGCACGGCGAGGAGAGTGGTGATGGTGCAGAAGATGAATGGGCAGGTGCACGACACGTCTGCGCCCCTCCCCTCCGCCACGCCGAATCCGATCTGCAGAGTGTTTGGGACAGCGTGAACAACGGGACTATCACGGTGATTTCCTCCGACCATGCCCCCACACAATACAACAATCCCCAAGGGAAACGAAAGCCCCTCGTGGAAGCACAAAAGAATCATTCAACGCCAACATTCGCCCAAATCCCCAACGGTCTCCCCGGCATCGAGACCCGTCTGCCCATCCTGTTCTCCGCCGCCACGGACCCTGACCCGTCCATCCCCCCGGCAAGGAGACTGACGCTGCCAAAGTTCGTGGAACTGACCTCGACGAACCCGGCCAAAATGTACGGACTCTCGGGCAAAAAGGGCAGCATCGCCCCTGGCTACGACGCTGACCTGGTCATCTGGTATCCTTCCCGTCCACACGACCCGGCCGCCACCGCCTCGTTGTCAAACGACAAAATCAAAGTCAACATCACAAACGACATGCTGCACCACAGCATCGACTACACCCCCTTTGAAGGCTTCCAAGTGTGCAATTGGCCCAGATACGTCCTGTTGCGGGGTGAGCTCAAGTGGAATCGCGATATCGAAGTGCGCGAGGGACCCGGTGCAGGAATCCTGGGAAAACCCGGCGATGGGAAGTTCTTGAGGAGAGGCAAAGGCGAGGTCCTCGTTGGACGGAGTGGGATGGGGAGAGAGCCCGCGGGCATGAGGGATGGGGAGAGGAGCGCTTGGATGTAAATTTATTGCCCCCTTTTTTTTATGATAGGGAAGCCCAGCCAGATGAGATATGCATTGCTGTGGCGATACGTACATCCACTCCTATGTAAGCAGCTTTGGTCAGAGAGAAAAGACGCGACCACGGAGGTCTGGGCGAAGTGGGTGTCATTAGAGACTTGGGTGGAAGGGGGTTTTGTTTCATTTTGCCGTTAAAACATATCATCGAGCAAAACCCTCCGTACAAACCAGGTAAGTAAGCAGATACGAAGCCGTGTCCAAGAGGGGGAGAAGAGAGGCTCACAACCTCAGAAGGCGAAGCAAAAAAGAAAAAATTCCACGTCGTAAAATCAGGCTATACATGCTCATGTTACGCGATATACCGAGCATAGAGACACATATTGGATACTAGATAGCCTATGAGCAAGCCGCGTGCAAATCTAAGATTCTCTGTTCCTGATGCTTCACGATGTATAAGGGGGAACAGATGGAGGCTCCTAGAGCGCGGAAAACAGCGCCAGTCGGAAACACATAGTAACAGGTCTTGTTTATTTTCTTCGTCATCTTTATGTATGTGTCATCCTCTCTTTTCATTATGGCATGATGTCTCATGAACGCGCATAGAGGGTTTGACAGCAACAATAATGTCTGTCTATCTTGCATGATCAAGCTCAAGAAGATGCCATAGTATGTCCCATAGGGATCATAGCAAAGCCCCGTCGGCTCTATGGCTCTATGGCTCAGGGTGTCTCTGTATCGCGGTAGGGCCTTTCCCAGCCTCAAAGCCTTCCATCACTCATGACTCATCACGAATTGTTCCGGCGTAGCTTCTCTCCCTGCTTCGCCCTATTTATTCTATTCCTTCCCCGTCGGTATCTTGAAAAAGACGCCTGGCGACTCTTTGGTGGGAGCCTTGTCACATCTATAGTAACCCTTGCGGTCAAATTGAATGATATCATCCTCTTTGACGTCCCACACGTTGCAGTCGGCCAATGCCGTAGAGCTGAACTCGGACTTGGTGGTCAGGAAATCTTCCCAGTGAGTTTCTTCCTCCTCGGTGAGCTTGTCCTTGGAGAGCAAGTGGTCGAAGTCTTCCAGCTGGACAGGGCATAGGTCCTGGTCCTTGGAAAGCCACGTGATCTTCTTTTTTGTGGCTTTGAAGTCGCCGTCGAGGTGGAGTTCGAGCTCCAGGGAAGCAACGTTGCCTAGTGCATTGACCCCGTCGGTGATGTCTGGTTTATCGGCAATTTTCTCATACTGGATGTCACGGACGTACGCGTTTCCCCAGTTCATGAGTGTGATTTCTTCGTCTTTGGCGAATGTCCGCGCGTCCTCTTGCTCGATGACGATGTTAGAGCTGTACCAAACCTTCTTCTCTCCAAGATCGTATTTTGCGTGTTTGGGTTTCATCTCCGAGTAGGGTTCTTCCTGGGGGAGGCCTTTGATTTTGCATACGACGTGGCTGTCGTCAATTGCGGTGTACCGCGCACTTTTCAGATCAATGATTTTCTTGTTCATGGTCCAGATTGTATGCCAGTCCATATTCACCACGTTCTTGCTGGGTCCCTGGCTGACCATGAAATCCCTCAAACCTTCCACCGTCATGCCCCGCCGTCGGATACCTCTCACGGTGGGGAAACGGGGATCATCCCAACCCGACACAACACCGGCATTGACCAGCTTTGTCAGTTTCCGCTTCGACATCAGCGTGCGCACGAATTGAATCTTGGAGAAAGTCCAGATATAAGGGCACCGCAAATCGACGGCCTTGAGAATCCACTTGTACTGCGCATCTTGATCATTGTACTCGGTCGTTCTCAGAGCATGAGTGACACCCTCGATAGAATCCACAATCGGACAAGCAAATTGATAGGTAGGGTAAGCGTTGTATTTGTCACCTGTCCGATGGTGATGGGTGTGGTTTTTGGGACATCGAAAGATCACCGGATCTCTCAGTGCGGCATTGTCGTTGGCATAGGAGATCTTTGCTCGGATACACCATCGCTTTCCCTCTTCGGTGCCTTTCTTCATCTCCTCGTATCTTGCCAGGTTATCCTCAGCGCTGTCGTCTCTGTGAACACTAGGCTCACGCGCCAGTCTCTGCGCGCTCATCACGTCGGCTGGGGTGTCGTCTGCGTAGGCCTTTCCAGCTTTTATAATCTTGACACAATATTCATCGATCTGGTCAAAGTAGTCGCTCGTGTAAGAGATCATGTCCGGTTGAATCCCCAAGAGGGCAACGTCCTCGCGGATTGCGTCTTGATACTCGGTATTCTCTTTCTCAATGTTTGTGTCATCGAATCGCAAAATCATCTTGCCACCGGGGTACTGAGTGTGTGCAAAGTAGTCGTTAAGGAGAGCAGCTTTCGAATGCCCTATGTGAAGATATCCAGAGGGCTCTGGAGGAAAGCGTGTAACCACGCCTGCGGCGGCATTGGGCAGTTCCATCTGCTTAACTTTTGGGGCCTTTTTGGCCTTGGGTGCATTCTTTGTCGCCATGGTGACGAGATTCTTGGGTGAAAAGGAAGGAAGCCTAGTAGAAGAGGTGGAAGGGAAATGAGTGACTGTCTTAGGGCAAATATTGAGTCATTTCATCTGCGGCATTTGAATATTTCACGAGAAGCCTTAAGCGGGGGACCGCCACAGCCTTGCGAAAATTCGGCAAATATGCCAAGACTCACCAGTGCACTTGGCGCGGATGTTGAATGGACCCACATGTTTATTCTCGATTGGAGTATGTATGTAACAGAATTCAAAACGAGTTCAGTGATAAATCACTACTTTCCACACAATATCGCTGACAGTCGGTCATCTCGAACATTCAAAAGCTAGCTAATAATGATACTGCGTGCGTGGTCGCCCTCCTTAGCCACATCCTGTCTGGCTTCTAATAGACCAAAGTCTGATGGACGAAGCAAACGGCCATCCAATATCGTCCCCATATGCGTCTTGTCAATGCTCTGGCAATTTCTCCGTATCTTCGTCATGAGAACCTTCAGGAATGGGACAGGGCTTCGGTCGAAAGCCGACCCGGACTTCGACTCCCCTGTTCCAATGCAATCTCGAATGATGAAACCGTCGGCAGCGACGATGCAACCCTCTTTGGCTTTCTCTGAGGCTAGTTCCAGTAAGGCACATGTCTCGACGTACTCCTTGAACGAGGAGAGGTACAGTTGTCCAGCGAATATATTTAACAGCAGGACCTGGCGACGTGGTAGAACTCGACCCCGAGCCTCGGGTACTGTGAACAAGTCCAGCCCATCCAGTGCACGGAATCCCAAGTTTGGCCGGGGTGCGTAGAGATGGAGCGCCACATTCTTAGATTGCCCGACTGTTGACTGTAGCTCCTGGGCCTCATATGGGCTGATGATGACCATGCATTTGACAGCATTGCCTTCTGGGCAGTCGCTCCCTGTGCAGGTCAGAATCCACTGCACCGGCCTCTGGTAAACATCCGAGATATAGGAGTTGCCACGGACCTGGACCGTTCTGGAAAAGTCAGCCGTCACGAAGAGGTCGTCGGGGAATTGTGAGACGTCGAGATGTGCGGCTGCACTCGTGTTGCGTAATGCTTCGAATGCGGGCATGTAGGCTTTGGAACCACTGATGAGCGTGCCCGTAGTCGTAAATGTGATCAAGTCGGGATGGAGATGGTGATCAGCAGGATCAGCAGGTGGCGACTTTTGGATCTGTCGCTCTTGCTCAATCTCCGGCGACAATTCACGCTCCTGCTCCTCCTGGAGTTCAGCGAGGCTGAATTCAAGGGCGTCGAATTCACGGCAATGCTCCCGGATAAGTCCAAGATTCGCGTTGGCGCTGACTTGCAAGGCAGAAGTCATGTCAGTGTGGATGCAAGGTCGGTACATGTCATCTAGAGAGCGAGATTCCTTCTCAAGGAATCGTTCCGCGTGAGTTTGGGACATTCGCACCTCGCCATCAGAGCGGGCATCTGCCCAAAGCGCGTTCTGGTGTTCAAACCGGTTGCCTTGCGCCGCCCACAGAGGCATGCTCCGACGCATATCGGTCCCTGTTTCCGACATGGCCCAACAAAGAACGTCGGATATGTCAATAACCGCGTTCTCAGGCTTGACGGCGTGTTTCTGAATCTTTATTTCGATCTCTTCTGGAACGCAGAAGACGACTGACTGGCCTTCACCGAGCTTTCTCATTCTCATGCATGCTGCGGAGGCGTAAGTCTCGATCACTCTAGCGACTGCGTAGACTCACCTTGTACTAATCGATCCTTGGTCAAATTTGCCCCTAGGGTTACGGCCGCCTTGTAGGATTCCGGCAATCTTAAATCGGTCCCTCTCGTGTGGGCCTCATCCAGGAATATGAGGCATACGTCAAGCTGTTTTGCAAAAGTTGATGTTTCGATCCTCCCTCTGCGATCGAGAACGGAGAGTTCATCACTGTCGTCAAAGAAGACAACAGCTTGCACTCGCCGCAGGTCCGGCGTCATCTCCAACCACTGTCTTGCAAGTTCCAAATTTTTCAATTCGAGAATCTGGGCCCCAACGTCAAGAATCACTTGAGGCGCGGGGTCCATCTTCGTCACCATAGTTAGGAGGAGTTCTGCGTCTGAACTGTATGGCCGTCCCCGTCGTGGCATGAGTACAACCGAATTTTCAGGTTGGAGGAGGTGCTCCAAGACCAGGGCATTGGTGTGTCTTTGTTCCTGAAGATCGAGATGCTTTACATGGAGAGGGAGCGTCATCCGTGAATCGTTTGTCCCACTGAAGCCAGTTGTTGGATGAGTCTTAATCTGGCCAATGTCCCAACCGGACGCGGACAGTTTGTGCGGGAACTCCTTCATCTCCTTCGGAAAGACGATATGCGCCAAAAAGTAGTCAACGACACCCTTAGCATAGCGCAGGGGAGGAAGCACTTGTTCCACGCACTGGAAACGGTCCTTGAGATTGACACCAGCTAACTGGCGGAAAGCTGGGGGTAGATTGGGGGCATCTTTGACCCATGCTTGGTATTCGATATCGGCCTGATCCGATTTTAGAAGATGACCAAATTCCAGGAATAGGTCATCGTCACCTAGCCCACTATAGTAGTGGCTAAGTAACGTTAGGATAATGACGACGTCGGGGTGGCTGAATTCAGATCGAGGGGTAGGACTGTCTTTGGCCCGGTATGGTACTGCAAGCCTCGTCCGGGGGTTCCTGGTCGCGTCAAGCCCATAATTGACACGCCAACGTTTCTGTCCGAATGCGAAAGCCAAAACTCCTCCCCCCATCAGACCTCGGAAGAGAAGTAGCGTCTTGCTTGTCGACTCGGTCCAGAAGCCTCCTGGATACTGGCTTTCCACTTGACCTACTTCGTCTGCAGTGAGATTGGGCTTGGTGATGTATTTGTACACAGCTTTCCGAACAGCTTCGGGTTGCCGGGCAATTGGAAAACCGCTTAGTCCGGTCTCACAGAGGTGTTCAGCAATGTTAGCTAAAATCCGTCTCTGTGCCTCGTACCCAAGAATCCGAGTCCTGGGGAAACTTCCTGGGCAACGCTCGTGGACTTCCATGGAAAGCGGATGCTCCTTGAGCACCCCTGGAGCAAACATCTTAACAAGCTCCAGCGCTTGTTGCACGCATATACACCGCTCTGGACTTAGTTCAACTGGTTGCTGCATGCCCATGGTGTAGATCAGCTCGAACTTGACGCTGAAGTTTTCGTCGCTCTCATCCACAATATCGCGGGTTGATGTGTCAAAGTATTTCTGCGTGTCCAGCAGCGAGCGGCCAATTGAGTCCTTCCCTGTCAAGAGGCACTCAAGGCCCATCAGTTTGAAGGATAAAATATGTTCGGGCTGAACGAGGAGGATGCCTCCATTGGTCATGCATTCGAGGCAGATGCTGGCAATCGTATTTGCCTCCGCTATTCCGAGTTTCAATGAACGAGAGAATGGCATGTGATAGACCCGCCGATTTAGCAAGCCTCCTAGCTTGGAGACCAGCATCTGGAACATCTGCTTGGATTGGGGCTTAGCCACGCCGACGCGAACTCACCGAGAAGTATCCGCGAGAGCAACTGCTACGATAGGCACAATTACAGACGACTTGCCCTCGCCCATATTTAATTGCATAACCGCATTGTGACCGTGTTGGGGACTCCTCATCTCTCTGACAATTTCTTCCTGAACATCTCGAATCATGATTCCGGCCTCAGCTTCCAGCAGTAAAGACTCGGGATAATCGATAGGATCCCAATTTCTGTGGCCGGAATTGCGGATTTCTTTGATAAGATCAGCATGATAGCCAGAGAGATTTACGAGTCGCTCCGCTCTTTGGAGTTCGGTGAGAGCCAGCGCATATTGAACAATGCAACGCTTCCATTCGGTCGTGATTATCTGCCATCGACTGCGAGCGAGCTGTTGGAGGAAGAGGACTGGGCACAGCCGCGGAATTTGCCTGATGGCAACAGCAACTGAGAGCGAGTTATTTCGTTGCGTAGTCGATGACCCTTCGAATGCATGAATTTCAGTCACAGCGGACATGATGGCAGAATAGATCTTGCGAACCTGTTCACTGCAACGGTTTAAGTGGTCGTGGAGAATTCCTTCAACGCCATTTCCCTGCGTCCACAGGTGATATTCAGCCCTCCAGCCACGCAAAGAGGAGAGGCTCACTCGCAGGTCCTCGACATACTTCCTTTCATAATTGGAGTTCAGTTGCGTTTCAAGTCGGTCTAGAAGGGAAGCCAGAAGAGGTGTCGATTTCTCCACATTCGAAGGCAGCAGAAGATCATTCAAGTCTCTGGATCCACTGGTCAATTCGGATGGAGGCGAGCAAGAGAAAATATCATCGATGCCAATGAAGCCTTTTGTCCTCTGGAGGTTCCATGCTGGGGTGGTTAGTGAGGATGAGGGCCCCTCTATTGAATTAACCAGTTGGAGCGAGAGTGTATCTCTAATTAGACAAAGACAACCGTAGAATCGATAATTGTCAAACCAAATCTTGAACTTTGGCTTTGCAGCTTCTATGACTTTATCCATGTCCATGTACAATGAAAACTGGGTATCGTTTGGGGCAGTCGGAATCTCACAAGGCCACTGGGCCTGCATTGCATTGACAAGTTTGTTCATAGTACGGTCTTGGTTGCTTTGAAACTGGCGTTGTTGGCGTCGGTCGCAAACAGAACTAGATTCTCTAGCGGCGCGGGAGAGCTGTCCCTCCGGACAACGATGGAAAGGGAGAAGAGCCGATCGGAAGCTGGAATGTAGTTCCCGCGTATTCACCGCCGCACCACAAGATAGGCGAAAGGAAGTGATGGGCGGGGCGGAGATCTGAATCATCTCCGGTACCATGAAGAACGAGGCCAGTGTCTGGACAATTTGTATATCGCTGGTTTCAGCAAAGCTAATGTTGAAAGCCAGATCATCAGACGGAACTTGTTCCAACGTGGATGGTCCCGACTGATTGTTTGGTGAAGAGTGCACCAATATTTGGAGACAATCTCTGGCGAATCTTGGAGCAACTCGCCGTCCTAGTCCAGCTCGGATGGTATTGGATGGCTGGCACCTAATATTGATGAGTCTGATCGCGAGAGGAAATTCCAGAGATGAAATTCCAAATCGGATGGAACATTATAATGGAGTTTCGCGCGTCTATGGTACACTATATCCGACATGGCGAAAGCTTTGAGCCTCCCCGCGAAGCGGTTATCCCGATCCCTTGCCGAATAAGTGACATCGCGCTCGACGGTGTGATCCTCAGCACCGAAGCCCGAGACGCGAAAGGTCGACGAGCGAATAGAGTCGCGCTTCGATAAGCACGGCTCAACGTGATCAAGAGCTGGTGGCGGGACATATGATTCTGGGTAGAACATCTTCGCCTTGTCCGCTTGATTGAATATGGAGATGACACTCTCGTAAAATCTGCCGTGCTGAGCCAGAAAACTGAGTTCCTGTACCCAGTCCACAGTCTGCATGACGCGTTCATTAGCCGGATAGTAACGTCTTCCTGGGGTTAGATAAGCTATCCGACGGAGGATGTCAATGTTCTCCTGTGTCAATCGATCGAATGATCTCACAGCAGCAGCGTTTAGGATCGAAAGAGCCTCCTCGGTACCAGTTCTCTGTATATGGGGATCAGGAAGGCAAAAAGACGTGAGCGCGTGGAGGTAACATAGAAACAACTTGCTCTGTAAGCTTCCATTGTCGACCAATCTGCCAATCTGGGTGTCCACGTAGTATGCGTGAGCTTTGGCAGCAGAGTTTTTGTCGATGACGACACAAACATGGTCGCCATCCTTTTTCCACGATACGCCACCCTCTGGCAAGATGACGAGATGACCGTCGTTGGTCTTGTGTTTTAGCAAGAGCTTGTTGCGAAGGCCCACCAGGGTACCGAGTGACTGATAGGGATCGACTGACATTCCCCGGAACTGCTTTGATTGGATTGAGGATTCCCCTGATCTGAGATTGAATCCTAGCTGTAGTCTGGGAAGCTCAATCTCTAACGATGATGAAGAGTGGTGTAAGGAGATGTGTATCTTGAGCGGATCCTCTACGGGAAAAAGTATGTCCGAGAGCTTTACGGCGGTCTTGCTCTTGACGCTGACCGAAGACATCGCACCATTCCTCATAAGCCACTGAGTACCATCTCTAGCTCGGGTCAATCTCCAGTTACTTGGAGACGAAATCCAAGGATCCCCAACAGGACGAAATTCCAAGGAGTCATCATTTACGTCGTACCAATGAACAAACTCCTCGACGAAAGCGTCAGGGAGCTCCCCATGAAGGACCCTGCAAGGAATGAGTTCGTATTTGCAATCATTCTTTTCGGCTTGAACCAAGAGATCGTGTTCAAGCAGCTCGGAGGTTCCAGGAACGGGGCTGATGCCGAAATGAAGTGTGTACCCAGCATACTCCTTTTTCCCAGAGAATTGCATGCCATGGGCTGCGGAAGGCAAAACCTCCAGTGTCGAATGGCCAAATAACGTTCGATAGGTCGCGTGACGTTCGAACTCGGAAGGTAGACGGTTCAAAGGAAGGCCATTCACGAGCAGTTCGCCAGTTAGGACATTGAAATGGACCCAGAGTTGTGCACAGTTGTTTCGAGGCGGTGTTTGGCTGACAACCCAATAATTTGCTTTCTCTGAAACCACTTGCCAGCAGTCTCCCACCTGGTAGGCAGACCAAGACTTCCTTATGGCGTCGTCCAGGGACTGACGTCGAGCATTGGATATTTCATTTATAAGGATGGGATAAGCGCGATACGAAAGCCATCCCCAACGCCGGTGAGGTATGGGAATCATAGGGTCAGAGTTTTTCGAAATGGTATTGATGCCTTCTTGGATGATGATGGAACATTGGATGAAGATTGATGCATCTTTGGAGGACAGTGCGTGGGCTAGATGCATGTCGTCAACATTGAACGAATCGATGCAAATCAAAGCTATCTCGACAGCCTTGGAAATTAAGTCTGTTCTGTAGCAAGCCACGGTTGTTCTGTGCACCCTATCCTTGACAAGGTTGACCCAAGCAAAAGCAACATCTCGAACATTAGCCAGATAAGTCAAGCACCGGGTCTTGACCTGATTGGCGGTTGACAGCGACAACAACCGCGCAGCTAAGGAAGTGAAGATACTGAGTGCCTGCGAAGACTCCCAGTTCTCCTTAATTCTCTGCAAAGCCTCATGGAGGCTCTCTAAAAGAGCGTGGCAGAAGTCCGCATCGCCCACAATGTAGTGGCTTTCTCTTAGGCCTGTCCTCCCACTCAAAGGACCAGCTTGATAGATGGACTGGAGAACCACAAAAGTGGTTTCGACCTTCTTAAAATCAACCAATGGCGCGCAGATTTGTAATAATATATTCTGCCATTGAATTCGGGTACCGAGGGGAATGGTACACAGCGCCTTGTACTCGTCCAACGACATGCAATCAGGACAGTCGGATTGGCTGGCTATGACAGTATTTGGTGACGGCCCGTTGGGCGCTGCTGCTGGGCGAAAGAGGAATCGTTGAATGGACGCTGATGGCGTTGGTAATGTATAGGTGAAAAGCTTTGGAAGGTCATCATCGAAACAGAAGTCGCCGACAAACGTGCCCGTTGCCTCATCATGATATTTGTACTAGAGCCCATTGTTGAGGCAGACATCGTCTGGGGTGGTGGTGGCGATATACTTCGGCCAGCGGTGTGTAACTTCATGAGGTTTGTTTTCCGACAGGAGACTGGGCCGCTGTGTTGTGCTGAATGATGCAAAGAAGGACGAAAGACCCTGGTAGTCCCTGAGAGGGTGATGTGCTCGGGGCCGGTCTGCCGACAAGCAAGCATTCATAACGTTGAGAAGGAGAAATAGCGTTGTATCCCGCCAGTGACCAAAAAAAGGAGGGACTTTGAGCTCGAATACCACTGACTTGGCTTCTAGCGCGTCGTCAGGTAGCGGCCATTCATGAATCTGAATAGTAAGTGAATCAGCTTGGGACCTGTACTCACACTTCTGGCAGCCATCACTGTGGTAGCGTCGTTCGTAGATGCCGTTGTAATAGTTCCCCCGTACTTCGTATTCGCATTCGCTCTGATTGAAGCGCCGCATGAGGGACCTGTACTCCTCCTTCTTCTGGGAGAATTCCCTGAGTTTCTCCTGTTTAGCCTGAGTTGCTTCGCATTCAATATTATGAAGAAGGGTCCGATGCTCTGGAGACTGGTTGAAGTATCTAACCGAGAAGCAATTTTGAAGTCCATAGTCTCGAAAGATGCTCGGGGATGGATGTACGGCGTGCACTTGACGTTGCACGAGATAACGCTCCACATGAAGCAGACGTTCCATCTGGCACGCCAAAGGGAGCAGTAGAGATTGGAGAAGCCCTGGCGGGATGCCCGGGTCATAATCCCTAAGAAATTCGCAAGTGCTGATTGCAGATTTGTCGCAGGCAATCCAGAGTTCAAGGATTGTCAGCAGCATGATGGAATTGGCCTCTGGATTTCCTGCATAAAAGGGAGATGCAACTCTATAGTAATTCCGAATCGACTCGCCTATTTTGCCGCAGGTGCCAGCGCTCCCCTTTTCGTGTTCCAGCCATTGGGGAAGGTTAGAGGCGACCCAGTCTTCAAAAGCCCTTATATTGTAAACCGTATACTCCGCTATCGAGGAATCCAGGTGTGTCGGAAGTTCTTGGGTTTGACATTTGGTGACCTGGGAAGCCGGCTGAAAGGAAAGAGGCCCTTTGTGCTGCCCACGTTTAGCCAGCGACTTAACATATTTATCAAGACCGACAAGAGTGTGGAAGATATCCCGGTCAAAGCTTAGGTGTTCAAGACATGATAGATCGCGGCAAGGGCTGGCTTGTTTCAGAATGAGTGACCACCTCGTAGAAATTTGATCGTAAGTGTTCTGCATGACATTTTGAGCGAAACTGAGGACAGGTGTGCCGACATGTGGATCGAGTTTGAGTAGGCGTCTGGTAAGTTTGGCGTTCATCGCGTACAACAGATCGCTGGGAAGAGAATGGCGATGTGAAAGCTCTAGAATATGGCTCATGAGAAACACCATAAACCTCTTGTACAGAAACCCTGGAGACTCAAATGAACTGCTCGACCTTGAAATGACGAGCTGCATGGCAACACGGACAAGTAGCCACGTAGGGGATCTTCGCCACGGTAATAGGCTGTCAAGCCACATGACTTCTTCTCGAGTATTTTTCCAGAGACATGACACATCAACTGGCTCCGCGGCAGGAGCTAAGAACCCCATAAAGAGCTCGGTGACTGCTTGTGGGTGTATTGTATCCCGGTCCTCATCGTGCAGACGGCCTGCTTTTCTTGCTTTCGGTTTTGTTCCAGCGGCAAGCTGGTGACTCATTTTGGCAAGCGTGCGTGCGACCGTCGATTGGAAGCCAGGTTGTTCAAAGTTATCGATGCTTAGAAAGAGAGCCAGCCCTGGAAAGGAGCGTCGGAGTCTTCCCTCGGTCGTAACCACTGGCTCGTTGAGGGGGGAGAGCTCAAATACCTCAACGTGAATTGACTGGTCAACCCTGCTAATCATGACACCGGTATTCTGGGCTCGTATGTGAAGTAGAATTGTTCCGCTCTCGACTAGGTCAACTCAGCAAGACGAGCAGGAAGAATAGTGTTGCGTGTGTATACCTTTCTTGCACAAGGCTCTTAGGGCACTTTCCAGCTTTCTTTCGCTCACAGCATCTCCAGAGGCAGAGAAAGTCGCGTAGCGATGTCATGCCGCTGATCATAGCAACAACAGAACCAATTGTCTCATTCTGGTCACCAATGAGGCAGTTTCGGAATCTGCCAAGGGCGTCGAGTACGACGTTCAGCAACATTGATTCGTACTCTGGATCAGAGTCGTCTCCTGCGGGAGTTTGGGTGGGAGAAATATGTGATGAATCAAATATGTAAGTGCACCGGGTGAGAACCCATTAGCTACTTCTCGGTCCATTGTAAAAGCCATATCAAACAGCAATTTCAAGTGAAAGTAGAGACGAAGTGAAGATGGCTTGTTGGAAGGACAAAGTCTCCGGCGGATCTCAAAATCCAGGTTGACTATCAGGACGAGGCGCCTGGGCGCTACATGCAGGCCATCTCCAAAGACTCAGACCTGTAGGAGAAGCGTCTTCGCTTTTCTCCATCAATCAATCAGGCCATGTGCAGACGTGGGTGCCTTGCTGCCTCCGTGCTAACGTGCTGATTGGCGAGTGGACGTCCGCCACCAGGTCTCACAAGCGCCTCCACGGACTGCCTTGCAGCCTTGTAGTCAATCTTCGCACCCAGCCAGCCTGTGAAGTCGGGGCTGGATGACTTGCGAAACAGCCACAGCACCAGGGGATTCCCAAAGATTGTGGGTTCACCCGCCGTTGGCCGCATGCCATGAGATTCCTGGTGTCGTCAGTGACCATGATTATCTGCATGACGGTCGATCAAAGGACAGCTGAAGTTCAGATAGAGCTTGCATTCTGGAAAATTCAGCTAAAGTAGTAAGGTTGCCTCACCGTCAGCGTGCCAACCTTTGATTGGGACTACCGGCTGTGGCCCTCCACATCGGACGTCGGAAGGGGCTAGGCCAATATATACAAAGGACTAACGGCCTACCACCATTGCCAGGATGGATGGTTACCCTGGACCTTGCTCGGGCTACCTAGGTGGGTATCCATAAACGGTGCTGTGCAGGCCTTTGCTGCCTAGACTTTGGTCAGTGCAGCGAGTTGTGACTTACCCCGCGCAGCTTATTGCCATGGCTGTGACATGTGCAGTACTTAACAGTGTCGGGAACCGACAAACTCAATCCCGAAGAGCTCAAGTTGCAAAAAGTCAACTGCTCAACCGGAGTCGGCCGTCAAAGGCGAATTGTCACGCTGCTCGATCACACCGAAAAGCCAGAAGGGATCAGGGATGGCCCATATCAAACGGCAAGACGCTATAGTGACAAGGACATGTGGGGACGAGTATGCACGCTGCGAAACGATTACAAGGAGTGCTGCGTCGCAGAATATGGTGTTCCGAAAGCTGTCACATATCACCCTGTTGTCGTTGTCGGACGAGGGCAAATAGGCACTTACATGTGTATGACGGTATTTTGCTCCCCCATAAAGCCAGCTGATCGTAGAGTTGACCATCTCCTTCAGATTACATCTAGCCTCGTTGATTTCTCATGGGCCTTGCCTATAGCACCAACTCCGAAGGGAACATCGCGGGCTCAGATGTATCTCCGTTCGGTAGGAAGGATACAAGACGGATTTTGGCCCATACAAATGTGGAAGAGCGGATGCTACTTACAGATTCATGAAAGTTACGACACCCCACAGGACTGGCTAGAGCCGGGCTATGGCGATCAGTATGGAGTGCCTCTACAATTGAAAAGCGACTCTTTGACACGGTTGTTAACAACGGAATTGGAGCAACTCTAGAGGTATCATCTGGGCTCGGTCTCTGCTTGGGGAGCCGGGAGTCGAGGGTCGGTCGAACGAAAGGGATAGGAAAGTGGTCGAAAATCGAAACGGCGTAAAAGAAGAAACGGTAAATATGCCGCTGATATTAGCTCTATTGTTGGCGCCATACGTGTCGGTTCCCGATCTGTCGATCTTTCCACTGATATACCGAGCAAGACCTAAAAAGCCGAATTGAAAAATAAGTGACAAACTCCGGTCAAAGGCTTTCGCCGTTAGCATGGAGGCGGCCTTTGTTGGTAACGGGCAATCCTTTTCCCTTGGAAATATCACAAAGACGCTATGCTGCCTTACTGAGGCGTCTTCTCAATCTCGATATCTGTATCTACACTTTGGAGACTGATGGCCATCCTGCGTGTGCCTGTCATAACGCAAAGGCAGGTCAATGCCCTCAGAATTTCGGTCGACTAGGTGCTACATCCAGATAGATCCGAATACAACCACCCGCTCAGTGACAATGCGAGAGGTCTCCATGGAGGAAGTATGGGAGCTAATCGACTTCATTGTGATGACACCTGGTTTCTCAGCTGAGTCGGCCGTATTTTCACTAGGGTCTCGCGTGACGCTCTAATTTTTCTCTCAGGAGCTGGACATTCCGAGAGAGCACTATACGATATGCTACGACGTTGTTCATTCCATGCGACAAGAGCCGACAACTCCCGCAAGAGTTCGAGGACATGGAGGGAGAGATTCAAATTCCCTTCTGTGTCTTTACGCGCCTCCTCGTGAATAGGCGCGATGTATTCCAGTCACTTTGGTTCAACGGGCGGGAATGGCTGGATGAAGTCGAGGATGATCCCTGAAGGCAGAATGCTTCGTGGGAAGCCCAACAGGCTGTCAGGGAGGGTTACGGCAGTTGCATGAAAGCGTATAACTCCAAGCAAATGCATTTTGAAACCCTGGTGCGTCAATCAGTGTCTAATATGTGTCGTTACGATATACACTCAACTCTAGCTAGCTCGATAAATAGCGCTACGATCTGAGTGCGTGTATCATATGCCTGGCTTTCCTCAACAAAGATTCATCACTCGCTAGACTCCTGAAGGTGTCAGTAGGATCTCTAGCTGGAACCGCGTCTGCGAAGTGCCGTCTCTTTTCAAGTCTACGTATTGAGGGGAACATCCCACGGAGGATCGGCATGAGGACCCTCTGGGCCTTTCACGGACTCCGATGTTTACACTGAATCGAGGGGTCTCAGTGGTGGGCTTCAGTGCGACAATTCCTTTTCTGAGCCAGATGTTGGCTATGGCAACGATACCGAACCCTCGGCCTATCGTGTTTCAATTCTTCACCTATGCAAAGATGGGGATTCGATCCTGCCAACAAATATAACACGAAATTTATGATGAGCAGAGACTTTATGGATTGCTACCTCGACGACCGCTGCCGGATCGAAGATGCGAAGGTACTGCAGGATTGCAGTGGGAACATCATACAAGCCCTGTTGAGTGACAAGGAAGCCAAATCCCTTGCAGAGAGCTTTTAGGAGGTTCCTGCTTATATCTGATAGGATATACAAGTGGCCATGGGAGAGTTCCAGGACCACCACTCAGGAAACCGATGTCGACCCGCGCAAGGTCCCAACTCTGAGACAGCTAATTCCTACAATGGGCTTTGATGGCTTCCACACGCATATGCACTTGCAAGGCAGCCTGCGCGGCCAGAGTGGACCACAGTTCTAGATTATACAATCCATTATCCATGGCAAAGGAAAACTTGACGCATGGCAACTAGTCGTGCCTCCCACCCAGGCTCCGCAGATACATCATCTCCTCTATCTACATGTACGTTCTTAGGGTTGGGTGCGGGTGGGTGGTCTTAAAGCGGCGCGGCCTGTCGAGGCTGGGCGAGGCTGGGCAAGGCTGTGTGCGTCGCCACGTGAGCTTGGAGGAGATTTTACTCTGTTCTTCTATTCGCTAGCCCCCGTATCCAAGCAATGGTAGCTGCCAACGCTTGCTGGACATTTGTATTCTGTACTCGGTACGATGCATTGAGCCATTAATTTGGCTTGTTCCCTGTGTTCAACCATGGACGTCTCTCGAGGCCTCTCGATGGCTACAACACGACTCTGTCGACTTACGACATCCTCATTTCTCGCTCCCTTCGTAACACGCGCATCGACGCCGTGCATAGCAGCCGCTGCTCGATGCTTCTCTTCCGCCCCGACCCTATTCGCAGCAGGTGGTTCCCGACCTCTGTCAGACAAAGAAAAGGCTGCGAGGGAGAAGATCAAGAGAAGAAGGAAGAAGCACCGAGCCTATAAGCAATATAACCTCAAGGATATGGAGCAGTTCACGTTGTGCGAAGCAATGAGGTACCTCGAAACAACACGTCTAAGAATCATTCAAGTATAGCTAATTGCGTTCGCAGGTACATCAAAGCCTTCGAAGTCGGGCGCGAGCCCGACTCGCCTAAATATGATATCCACATCAAACTGCGCACCAAAAAGGACGGCCCCGTGGTTCGCAATTCGATCCGCCTCCCCTACCCGGTCAAGACGGACATAAAAGTCGCGGTAATCTGTCCGCCGAATTCCACGGCAGCCCAACGAGCACGCGAAGCCGGTGCCCATCTGATTGGTGAAGAGGAGCTCTTTGAACGAATCAAGGCTGGGAAAATCGACTTTGACCGATGCATCGCTGTCCCCGAATCCTTGCAGAAGATGAATAAAGAGGGAATTCCTAGAATATTGGGTCCAAGGGGCCTGATGCCGAGTGTCAAGATGGGCTCAGTCGTGACGAATCCAGGGCCTGCTGTGAGGAATATGATGGGCGGAAGTACGTACAGAGAAAGGCAGGGTGTAGTGCGGATGGCAGTGGGGAGACTGAGCTTTACACCGGAGCAGCTGAGGGATAATGTGAAGGCGTATGTTAACGCGGTGAAGAAGGACTCGGCTGCGCTGAGCGACCAGATTGTCAAGGAGATCTATGAGGTTGTTTTGAGCTCCACGAATTCTCCTGGCTTTTCTTTGACTGGGGACTTCTACAAACCGGCGCCGGGAGCTGCTACTCCTCAGCAACTGGCGGTGATTTGAAAGGACTTTCTGGTTCTTCGACTTGTATTATTCAACCTGTCTGGGGTATATCTCGCTCAGCCACGGCGTACAGGTGTCAAAAAAAAAAATGGAAATAGAGATGTTCTCTTGGTGGCAAGGGCCTGTCGGAACAACAATCAATCTTCAATTGCCCCACGTATTTGCAACAATTGTTGCTTGTTCTTGACCTCGGTTTGCTGTTTGATGGTCATTTCGAGGTCGGTCAGTAAGACTTCCTGGATCTTGCGCATTCGCCCTTCTTGGGCCAAGAGGAAAGGATGCTGCGGACTGTGCTTGCTCGCCAGATGTTTCAAGATGAGAAATTCTTCAGTCCTTCGCCTCAGTCTTGGAGGGACCCCAGTAACCTCGTCCGAGTTGTACTCCTCGTCGCTTTCGTTGGTGGCCGTCTCTTCGATCCATTCGTCGCTCCACGCCTCACCACCGCCATCTTTGAGTTGGCCTTTGCTCTTGGTCGCGGATGCCGTAGGTGTTGAGATTTTGAGCTTCTCTTCCAGCAGATCTAAACGCTCGGCAACTTCGAGTAATGCCTGCCCAACGCTCGTTTCTTGCCTCAGAGCTCTTTTCTGTCTTAATAGTTCCGCGACCTCGTTCCTTCTTGCGTCGACTTTGTCTCTAACTGCTTTGATATCTCTTTCAAACCCCAACAGCCCCAGTCGGATATCCTCGATCTTCTCTTCGCCCCCATACAGCGTGCTTCCTAGTTCCAGGAAATCCTGATAGTTGTCATTGACGAGGTCGACGAGCTCCTTGTTGAGAGTCTGACTCAATTCGCGCAGCTCGGCCTGCAGGTCTTCAAGAGTCTGGAAACGATTCGACAGACTGGATAAAAAGGCTGTGGCGTCAAAGTCGGGGGCGAGGAACGCAGATCGCTCCAATGGTTTGGGGAAGGGAAGGGAGGCATCACTGTCGTCGACGTCTGAGCCCGAGTCAGACCCGCCAAACTGATGGAGTCGTTAGTCTTGGTCCAGATTTGGGCGTGGGAGGTACGCACATAGAAGCGACTGCTCATGGTGACTCTCTTAGGATCCTAGGCGGGATCCTGTTCCAAATTTCACTTGTTGCCATTCTTCGTTCAAGAGTCTGTCATACTTCGCGGTCTTTTAAGCATGGGGACTCCAGCATGAAGGACCTCAAACAAAGCGTGACTGGGAATTGTCGGTAGTATTTGCTCCTACAGTCGCCGTCTGTCTTTCAGTGTGCCACTTCCACACATGAATGGGGACGTCGATGTACTGCGGAGTGGGAGGGGACAAGGGCCTGCATCGGACATAAGGACAAATATCCGGATTTAATGCTGCAGTAGCACAAATGAAGAGACGACGTTCTCGAGGTTTCTCTCTTTGTGTTAGGTAGAGAACCAACCACGGTGTCACACGGACGTATCTCTCTGCTCCGTACATGTTGACAAGATTTACACGATGGATCTAGCTGCACGAGGCGCCGCAGCGGTCGAATCTAAAGACTTTCCTCTTGCTGTGTCCCTCTACACCCAGGCGCTGATCGACCATCCGTCCTCCCCCGACTACTTCATCCAGCGATCACTCGCATTTGCGCGTCTCTCACCCCCCCGCTATGACCTCGCTCTCAAAGACGCAGAGTATGCAGTCCTCTTCGCACAGAAGCGTGCAAAGAGAGAGAAGATCCAGGCGGCACAACAGCGACGAGTTGTGGCTCTTCACGGACTGGGACGTTACGCAGATGCCAAAGCGGTTCTGCAGCCGATGGAAAAATGGAGATCCAGCAAGCCCGCGAAGATGGAAGGTGACATGTGGCTGGCCAAGATCGAAGCAAAGTTGAAGAACGCGCCCGAGTCGGAGAGAGCGTCGTCTGTGACGGAATATCCAAAGATCGACCTGCCAAATGACGCGCAAATGAAGGCGTGGCTCAAAGCACTACTGAGGCCAGATGGGTCATATAAATTTGACGAAGGCAAAGTCGTCGAGATGGCTACTCCCGACACAGCTGCGGGTACCACTGGTGTAAACAAGACAAGCAGTGATGAGACCATGACAGGCTCAACTCCGTCCAGCAACATGCCGACATCAGCTCCATCTAAGATCCGACACGAATGGTACCAATCTCCTCAAACAGTCACTCTGACACTCTACGCAAAGAATGTCCCCAAAGACGCCTGTGAGATCGACATCCAAGAAGACTCTGTATCCATCTCCTTCCCTCACCCTTCTAACCCGTCCTCCACGTTCACATTCACCCTCGACCCGCTTTTCGCACTTATCGATCCGTCCCAAAGCAAATCTGCCGTCCTCTCCACAAAGATCGAGTTGACACTGAAGAAGGCGCAAGCTGGTCGGAAGTGGCATGACTTGGAAGGTGCTGCGCCACTCATGGCACCATTGTCAAAACCAAACGATGAGAAAGAGGACCAGGATCCCAGGGCCGCTACGTTGGCCCCTTTGACCGATTCTTCCTCACCACGTATGACTGTGCCCCAATCAGGCGTAGTCAAAGATATTCCCCCATCGTACCCAACCTCCTCCCGCACCGGCCCAAAGAACTGGGACAAACTTGCCAACGACCTCCACGTGCAAAGCAAATCCAAAGCTAAGATTAAGTCTAAAGACAAGAGTAAGTCAACCTCTGACGATGCTTCCAAAGAAAGCCAGTCCAGTCCCCTCGGTTCCGATGTAGACGAGGGCGGCGGCGAAGAAGACTCGGACTTCGACACCGGCGACCCTGTCGATGGGTTCTTCAAAAAGCTCTACGCCTCAGCGGACGATGACACGCGTCGGGCGATGCAGAAGAGCTTCTACGAGAGTCAAGGGACCGCGTTGAGCACGAACTGGAAGGAAGTCGGGTCGAAGAAGATCGATCCGGTCAAGAGTTCCCAGGACTGAGAATATCGCGGAGTGTGGGTGGTGGTGAGATGTGCGATTGTCCGGTCCTACACAGGGAGAGGCAGTGGGATGAAAGAAGAGATGAATTGTGTTTCCACGCGTAGGAATCATGAGATGGTGTGAAGAAAGTTGAGCAGAGACGCTGGCGGCGTGCGGAGGAAAAGTAGCTGGGGAAAAACATGGCAATCGACCTACATGCTGAATGAATGAAACCAACGAATGAATTGAATCAATGAATCAATGACTCAATGAATCAATGCGCGTATCAGGACCAACAGAACAGAAACAGCACCGGCAACACACACCCAAAAAAAGGGGGGCGGGGAGGGGGGAGAGAAAGAGATTGAGAACGAGAAGGCCGGAATGAGCATTCGGAATGCCTGACAGGAGCCCTTGACAGAGGAGTAAGCCGCAGTCCATTCCATTGCTAGTTCTGTATACCGCGATGCAGTGTAAATGCAATGTAAATGCATATGCAATGGGGTGCGCAAGTTCAAAACGGGAAAGGGGGAAAGGGGGAAAGGGGGAAAAGGGGAAAGGGAAAGGAGATGGGAAAAGAACAGGAATGGCAAGGAAAGGAAAGTGAGGCACCTGTCCATCTACCTATTCATCATCTAATTGTAATATTCATTTCATCTCGTTCCGTTCTTGGTCCTCGATCAATTTCCTTCCTCCTTCCTCCGTCTCCTTCTCCTTGTCCCTGGGGATGATCAAGAACTTACACGCCCGGCCTGGTCCTTGTATCCCATCCATCCCCTTTCGTACGTAGAACATCTATCATCCATCTTATCCCGACAGTCATCAGTCGTCTATATAAGACCAAGGACCAATCATCCCGATTGATATCTAGATCCCAGCTAGCATCCAGCAAGGGATTCCGATACCTGCGTTTCAATATCCACCCACCCCTTTGGAGACGCGTCCCCTTTTATGCCCCGTTCCGCCCTGCCCCCTTCGGCGCCCTTCTGCGCCCTTGCTTTCCTACTTGATTTGGGCACCTGGATCACAACCCCATTCCTCAAAGGCTGGTTCTAAGAATAGGCGATAGAAACGAATGAATGAAGAAAGGAATGAATGGACGGACGGACGGATGGATAGATAGATGAGTGATGAGTGAATGTGCCTCCGATGTTTTGGAGATACAAATTCCTTTCTGTTCCCTTCCAGTCCATTTGACGTGTCTTGATAAACTCACTGTCACATTTGTCGTGGCGGCGGCACCAGATCGCGGATTCGGATTAGGCACATACGCGGTGCTCGTACTCCCTTTGGTCACCACCGATGGGGTCCGGTCGGACCCGTAGCTGCTCGCCGAGTAGATGCTCGCGGGATTGGTGCTATGTTCGCGCCTCCAGACTCTATGATGTTGGTATTGCTGCAGGGGCAATTGAGTCTGGCTCGAGCCCAGGCTGTGCACGTGATGCTGGTGGTGATGTCGAGGAGGGTGGTGGTACTGACCATAGCGGATGGGGCTGGGCCGGCGGAGATTCGATCGCGGCGGGGCGGTTGATGTTGAGGCTGACCTTGAACGGGTTGCAGTGCTAGTGCCAGTGGTTGTGCTGCCTTGCGACCTTGCCATGGAAGGTGTTGTTGAGTGGCCTGGTGCACGGGCTGGTAATGCAGGGGCTGCTGGAGGCGCTGGAGGGTGGGTTGAAGGAGGTGGTGGCGGGGGTACACGGGGCATTGGCGTCGCCGCTTTTCTCGGCGATACTGTTTCCACCGTAGTCTTCTTTGCACGCTTTGTCGATGCGGATAGCGTAGACGATGGCGGGCCAGAGGATTCGCGCTTCGGTGGGGACGTCCTCGCCACGACACTTGACGTGCTGAGGCTTCCAGTCTGGGCAGCAAGTAAATCCGAAGATGACTTTGAATGTACCATTGACAGCGTCAAAACCGAACCCGTGCTCAATGCTCGAATGGTAGGATCTGCACTCAGAGGCGTGTGGTGCAGAGCTGGGGACCAGGTCGGAGGCGGAGCTATGGGAAGCGGTGGTACATCGGGTACAGCGGTATTTTCAGATGCCGATATTGTTGCAGGATCTCGGCGCAGGTCTCCCCTTTCCGGATTGCTATTTGCTCGACTGCGCGAGCCTCGGGGTGTTGGTAGATGGGTCGACTGTCTGGGCCCGAACGAAGACGAGGACTGCGAAGAACATAGAGACGAATTTCGGTCATCCCAGTCCAAGCACTGACCTTCAGAGACCGACCGGAGGGTACTCGAGTATCGGCTGCTCTGAGCAAAGGTATAGGGGTGGTACCTCGGTCGCTGGTCATGGCAGGAGTATTTGTGTGGATAGATGGCCTTTTGAGAGGACAAGCTGTTGCGTCGCTGTAGCCATTGCTCGTGCTCGAGCCTGTTTGGGCGGCGGTCGGGGACGAGGAAGAGATTTTTGTTTTTCTCAACCGAGAAAGCAGAACAGCTGCTGGAGGCGGAAAGCGCTGGGCCGTGGGATTTGGGAGCTTTGCGAGATAGACAGGTACAGTAACAATTCAAAAGGCTCGCTCCGCGGCGAGGGGGCTGTTGTTGGTCCAAGAACAAGAGGGAGGCCATGAAGATGCTAATGGGGGTCGTAGACAGGTCAGTGATCTTCATTTGCAAGGCTCCCGTAGATACACCGGAGTCCAACTTACGCCATCAGAACCGTTAAGGCCACCAGAGCACGATGGAGCCGGCAAGAGAGACCGTATCTCCAGTTCTGCTCCTCTAAATCATTCTGCCATTCCTCTAAAGGCCTTTTCAGACACGTGGGCGCTCGAAGCGCGACGAGGAGATTGACGCATCCCAGGATCATCCACAAAAACACCAGGACTTGGACGCAGGTCGTACAGGCCCTCTCCAACTTTGGTGGTGCTGTTGAGGGTGATATAGTCTGAAAGGCCCTAGTTCTTTGGCGGACGATGAAGTAACCCCGGATCCCCACGATGAAAATGGTAGGCAAAGACTAGGTAAGCGTTAGGAGCTTTGATGGATAATGATGTGGGCGGCATTGATTTGGCCTGCCCCAGACTCACAAAAGCAATTGAGAGGTCAACTCCCGAAGATGTTGTCGGGCTAACAGCTCCTTTGGCTCTCAGAAAGACGGCCATGCATAGTATGCTGTAGGCAAGTGTCAGGATGACGCAGACATTGATGATCCTGTTTGCCATCGCGGTGGTATTGCTTTGGCCGACCATGCTGGTGGGCTGTTGGGAAGAAAGCATAATGCTGCGCCGTCAAGTTGGGAAAGAGAATAGCCATCTTGAAGTCTCGAGAGCTCCAGAGGGGACCGTGAAAAATTCATTTTTGCCATTTGCAAGAATGCTCGCAGTGGAGGGCAGGCAAGGGCGAGAATCGAGATGAATGTGGTCGGAAGGGGGAGTCGGTGGCAGCGAAGGGCCGTGCAGTCAAGGAACAAGTCCTGGTGGCCCCTTCTGGTCTATTTCTTTGTCCAAATCCCCTGAACTCCTCCCGCAGGAATTTGCCCTACCATTCCATTCCTATTTCCAACAAAGGAAGAACCAAAGGGGGTATCACAGAGTGCAATCCAACCATCAACTCATTTCCAATCCGACATCGTCGTCCATCAAGTCCTCTTCATCAACAGCATTATCCTCACTTTCCTCGTCAAGCCCACCTTCCAATAGAGCTCTGGCGTACTTCGTGTCCACCTTGTAAAGGCCATGTATCTCCGACACAACGATTCTGATGTCGCCCGAGTGTTGCAAAGCCTTCAATCGACACAATTCTCGACCGGCCAAAAACCACACCCAGATGCGGAAAGAAGTTCCTTTTGAGCAGACAACTTTATGCAGACAAGCTGCTTTAAGGAGGTCCCAGTCAGAGAGCGGGCGGTCCTTTTCTGCCTCGAATCGACGACCTATCTCATGATCAAGTCGCTTAGGTTTGATGGCTCGGAATTTTTCGTAGACAGTTTGTACAGCAAGACCGAAATCCTTCGAATCCCCCCAGTCCTTGACTTCGTTCCATGTTGATTCAAAGCCGGCTCGGTTAGCGGAGGACAATTTGCTCCATTGCTCCTTTACTTCGGTGATGTGGTCAAGCAGACCTTGCTCGCCTTCCAGCAAGTCGGCGAGTATCTCCAAGTCTGTAGCACCTGGCGAGGCTGTCGTTGTCCCGTAAGCACCCCCTTCAAATCGATGCCGACTGGCTCGCTTCTTCATTTTGTCCTCTTCTACTAGTGAGCACCAGTAAAGCCAAGGGCGACTTAGGTCTCTGTCGTAGTTGAGGACCTTTTCGTCCTGTCCTAACTTCACAAACTCTCGCAATACTTGCTCTTTGAGAGTCTCGGCAACGTCGAACTTGAGAAAGTCCATCACGTTTAAGTAAGGGCCCGGAGAAATTTTCCTTGGGGCAGTCTCATTTTTGTAGGCGGGTTTTGGCAAGCTGTCTAAACCACTCGCGTTTTTGCGGACTTTATACCAGACATCCTCGGGAAGGTCCCAGCCCTGCTTATTACTGTCAACTAGAAAGCCCGCAAGCGCTGCTAGTTGCACGGCACCAGGGTGCAATAGTCTATCGCCGTGTCGTCTTTGGCCAAGGGCATAAACGAGTCTTTCGTGCTCCGATGTGCACGTACCAAGCAGGTTGGGCCGAGCATTGAATGCAATACATCTGCGGAAATAGTCGTTGAAAGCTTGATCAGGAGAAAGTCTTCCATTGAATATCCCAGACACTGGTTTCGAGCGCTGAATCATACCACAATCGATCTGATTTGGCAGAAGTGGCATATTCGTGTTACGAAAAGGTCGAACAATCTTCGGATCCCAGACGCAAGTCACAACATCACCTAAAGCCCTCGCAAAATCGTGTCAGCACTTCGGTATCTTGAGAAAAAGAGAAGAACGAATGGTGAAGTTTGCGGAAATGTAATTGTATGTAAACCAGAAACCTACCATCGTAGTCGCCGCCAGATAATAAAGACGCCAGAGGAATATCACCCCGCTGAGGGAACAAGATGACGTTCTTATAGTGACGGAGCTCATGTTTATAGACAGACCTACATTTCTGCATATCGGATGCTAGAAGCGCTGGGTTCCGAGCCACGAGAAATTCAAGGTCTTCAAGCGTGTTTTCTCTGATCCCAGTAACGGGATGCGTAACCGGGTTCGAAGAACCGAGATAGACTTCACCGGGTGCAAGCACCCCCAACGGGTCCGGCGCACAGAAAACTGATGTAGAATGTGGTATCAAAATCCGCATTTTATCCACATAGTTTGTCATCCAATGACTGAGCAGAATATAAGCATTGTCGATAAGCACTCTGCATGTCTGCGGATGAAAGCCGGATTCGAGAAGAAGTTTGATTTGTTCTTTGCGGTCGGAAGGAAATGAGCCCAGCACTTTGTTGGCCTCGAGACGTGACGAACGGGCGTGCTCTTGCATCCAGAGTCGAAGGTGTCTCGGATCTTTCATTGCTTCTGTGAGAGTGTTGGTGAACGATTGCACATCCGATTGTAATGCTTCTTGAAGAACTGAGCGCGGAACCCCCCCGTTTTCGAGGACATTGATAAGTTGTATGTTCAAGCGTGCTGGCTTACATTCGCTTGCAAACTTCAATACCTCAAACGTGCGTAAAGTCGCATCCGAATCTGCATCGACACGGTCGAGAGGGTGTGGCTTTATTTTGAGCTGTGACTCTGAAACCTCGATCCAGTAGTTCCTTTCACTGACATTGGGATTTTGGTTTTGATAATCCACTAGCCATAGACCTTTTCCGCCGGAAATGCGCCCTTGGACAGCAGAGGGTGGCTCTCCTTCGCCGCCGCATGCTGCCCAAATAGCTTTGGCGAGTGGGTGGGATATCAATGCACATCCGTCATTCATTACTTTGCGTCCAGTACCGTCGTCAGGCTCATCACCAAGTTCGTCAGGCCTCTTCAGAAACTCATGTCGTTTTAGCTCTACCGTTGGAGTCGTCCTCGAAAATCCAAGGCTCCATCTAGAGAATAGTCTCAGATCCGTCGAATTTGTGTTGGCATCAAGAGGCATATGCCATTGCATTAGATCTTGCCGCATAATATTGCGGTGTTGACCCTGGCCCTTGAGAATTGGTATGTTGAGTTTCAAGAAAGGTCGTGGAATTATGTCAAATCCGCTCTCTGCAAACAGGATGATCCTTGAACGTTGCGACCGCGCCTTGTTAGCGCGTCCTTTAGCATTCTCCTTTTCGACGAAGCATATTCGCCAGCGCCTACCTGCAATAAAATGCGAATTCGTCGCGAGGAATTCAACGACCTCGTCGTACGACGGCGGATCCTTGTTTTTGTGTTGTCTTGATTTGTCGGAAAGCTTTGGCGGTGTGAAGGAGGGACCGGAGAGCGTAAGGAATCTGTCAGCACCAAATTTTCTCTCGAAGCGGCATGACTGCTCAAGCTGAATGGGGTTGAGTTGAAGTTGAAGCAATCCCTGGGAGGGATCATCGTTCCAATCCAAGGCGGCGGTGAAGTGGGCGACCTTGTTTGTCTTGTCATCCATGTAAATTCCTTGTCGCACCATCCAATCCGGGAGCCCAGACTTCTCAGGCAGCGTGCGCAAGCCTTTTGCACGGCAAAGTTCCTTAATCGTGCCCCATACTTCCTCTAAAGTGACGGATTTCCTGTGAATCTCTTCGAGTCTCTGGTAAAGCTCAATTGGTTTCAGATCTAGAAGAGGTGCAAGTCGATGTAATTCCCAACAGTACCAGAAGGGTACATGTGGCGGGAGCAATGCATGTACCGTAAAAGTGTCGTCTAAATTATGATCAGCTTGCTCGGGCAGGCTTGGAACCTTGCTTAGTTCATTAAACGAGGTAGAGAATTGCTCGTCACTAAATATTTCGTTGTAATCTTGAGTTGGAAAAAGGTCCTGGGAGTCTTCGGCATGGGAACTGATCATGGACGTATTATTTGACATTGCTCCTTCGTTCTCTTCGCCGACGCCCGAGAAGACGGAGGTCGCCGCGGTAGATACTACAGTATCAAAGCTGATCGGATCAGGGGCTTGGAGAGGACGGGGTGGCGGTACGTGCTGAAATTGTTGGAACTCGGACAGCGTTTGCTGTCGCTTACATCGCTGCAGTGAAAGGTGAGCAGAAGGAAACTCAAATCTAGATGTTTGACTGACCCCATTGGACGTGCCCAATGTTCTCTTTGAGGTCGCAGGGTGCTTCTGCTGCGGCTCATCTGGTTCGTTCTTTAGAGATTCGGGTTTCGAGAGCTTGCGGGGCGGCGTAGAGAGCTCTTCCCTTCGGGGCGCTGTCTCTGTTACTGGAGATGTTGGAGCTGTGGCAAACGATGCCGTCAAGGTAGAAGCTGGTTCGTTCGAAAACGCATCCGACAATCGCGCCAGCTCATAGTTTTCCTTCTTCTCCTTCAATATCTTGTACAAAAGTTGGAGAAGTTCCCGCCGCTGGGGGTCGCTAAGGCGGACTAAGCCTATCTTCCGGGCGACCAGGCTCTTGGTTACAGGCAACACAGGCAGGGTTCCCGGTTCCTGGGAGGGTTTGAAGACCCATTGAGAGTGAATATGCCTTGCACTCTGTTCGAAGTCGGGGAGGGCCGTTTTGGTATCGTCGGTTTTAAAGCAGAGGAATCTGATCAACTTCGAGCATTTGCCAGCCAGGCGATCAGTTTCATCAGCTTGGTCGCCTTCAATACCATGGGGTCTTGGGAGCCCGAGATCCCACTGTGCATTGAGATGGTCGATAGCCCGGTCTATGTTGTTGCTGATTTCCTTGGGCGTGGGAGGCATGGCGACCCTGACATCAAGGAGACAATTCAGCGCGAAGTTGTTGATCGCACTTCAGCTCCTGAGCAGTTGCCTTTTGGACGGAGGGGCTGGCAACTCTTTGATAAACAGATAAGGGACTGGTTCTGCTCGGATGAACGCCCAAGGTCCGCCGAAGAGAACGGCACAGCAGGACTTGGATGTTCGTTAGGCTCCCTCCATGAGCATTCAGGAAGTATATATCAATGTCTGGAGCATAAGAAAGGGTTCACAATTGGGAGAAGGAGATTGGTTGTATGGTGGAGGTGGGCGAGAAGAAGGCGACCCCCTCTCGAGCCAAACAGACTCCCGAAGGAGCGGCTCGACCCCTGGCGCTGGTGGTATCCATTTTGGCCCCGTTGCCCCGTGCAAATTCGTCTTCGCGCCTCTCGCCAACGCGCCCGACGCGTAAAGTGGCTTGACTGAGTCAGCCCAACAAGGGGTATCAGGGGCTATCACAGGAAAGGGGAACGATACGACTGAACGCAGGCACGCACCAGGCTGATTTCGCCCTCTCTTCAAGGTAGTCCGTAGTCCTGCTTGTTAGCCATTTTCCTCCTCCTACCTGTGTCCCTCTCGCTTTCACTATCGGCGATTCTCCACTATGGACAGAGACATGAAAATACCGGAAAGCAAGCCATGGAGAGAGAAGAGACAAAAGAAAAAGGACGAGGGTTCAGGGCCGGGCATGAGCCATTTATCTCTGCTCCGCGGGTAAAGTTCAAGCACCATCCTGGTCAAAGTATTGGCACTTGATCCATACCGACAACACAACATTGCCTCAAGTTCTCCGTATTGGGGACCAGACTCGTCCATCGCGCCCCGCCAGCCAACCAATGCTTACCATCACACGTTTTTGTCGAGCGACAGTCAGCGTTCTTTCAGTCCACTCCGCACAAGACTCCAAGCGCGTGATGTCGCCCAACTCTGTTTCTGCAGACTGCCTACATAATAGTATGCTTCGCCACTCCTCGACCTGAGAGAGCGGGCCAGAGGCGTGGATTCGTTCAATCGTCATCAAGAGGGCATCATTTCCGCATTCTCGCTCTGCCCGTAGTCAGATTCTCACTCCTTTCGACGATGGCCACGTGGGTTGGAGGAGCCACTGCGTCGTGTTAGCTAAACACACAGTCGATCAACCGGCCGCGAATTACTTACAAGCTGATCCTCCTCGCCACGCCCTGCAGGTTGGTATCATTCTCTGCTTCAGTGGCAGCTCTCTCCAGAGCAGCTCGCCTGTCCTCCGCACTGCGCTTCTCAATTTCCTCAGGCGACGGTGGGAGACGCTCATTTTGGAGATCAACTTTACGGGCATCCTCAAAGTTGTGGATGGCCTGCTTGATACCCTCGGCACCCAGCATCAGAGTCCCTGCCGGCAGGCGACCTCCGGACTGAGTCTTCAGCTCGGTGACGCGTTCGGATTCTTCACGTAGGACCTGGAAGACTCTGGAGAGTCGCCCGATGGCCAGAATCTTGTTCTTGATAGCGCGCCGCTTGGCTTCCGTGGATTCCGGATCGGCGCCAAATGGTGGCGTCTCTGGCTCCATGCTCGAGCTCTGCGTATCTTCCTCCAATTCTTCTTTAGAGCAGGTGTTGAGGATGGCAATGAGCATGTCTGTAATCTTTTCACCCACAAAAGGCAGAGACCAGGTAAAGACATCCATGAAATTTGGAAGCCAGTATGGATGAGGAGTGCAGTTGAATTGTCGGATGTTCATAACATTATTCTCGTACTTGAGCACGGCAGCTTTGTTGTTGTAGACGTCGAGGTAATTCGGCGCGCTGAAGATGGTCATGACACTGGGGAAGCCAGTGGTCCGCGTCTTGCGATACATGCGGTATCCAGCATCTTGCGCTTCGTGTGCACGGATAATAGAGAGCAGATTGTTTTTCTCGAGGAAATTGCAGGCGGCCGGGTAGGAGAAGAAATAGGAGCAGCCTCTGACATGGTTATGCACATAGTATTCTCCAGTCTTTTCTTGACCGAATTCCTCCAAAGGATCAGCCCAGAGGATGTCACACATGAGGCCATGGGTGGGGGGCTCGCGGAAACGGTCAATCTGATCGGGTTAGCACGATCGTGGCCGCCAAACCGGGGGTTTCACACGGCTTACGCTCTTAATATCCTCCAGAGTGTGTAATTCTGGGCTTAGGCCACCGTGTATACACAGAAACTGCTTGTTCATGACGGCAGCCAAAGGCAAGGAACAGAATGATTCCATGCATGCGTCGTAGACTTTTTCCGAGTACTTGTGTTTGCACTCGAGTTTGAAGGTGAAATAATCTGTCAGATGCCTGCACTCGTGATTTCCACGGAGAAGCCACAGGGTATTCGGATACCAGATCTTGAGGGACCATAGGTAAAGGACGCACTAAAATAGACTGTCAGGGCATAAGTCTTTGAATAAAATCCAATGGAGCCGCACCTCAATGCTGAAGTATCCGCGATCAACGTAGTCGCCCAAGAAGAGATATCTGGTCTCAGCAGGGTCCCCGCCCACCTCAAACAGCTTCATAAGGTCAAAATATTGTCCATGGACGTCACCACACACGGTGATCGGTGCATCCATTTCCAGGAGGTTTGGTTCCGCCTTTAACAGCTTGGTGCCTTCGTTGATGATCCACAAAGCTTGCTCTTCCGTCAATCGACCCTCTCGGTAAAAGTGTTGTTTCAAGAAGGACAGATTCGGCTTGGATCGATCGGCTGATGACCAGAACTGCTCGTTCGTGGGAGGTTGCATGGCGGGAGCCTGAACATCTGCCACAAAATCAGATAGTGTTCGGGAAGAGACTCTTGGACGGCCTACCCTTGCATACTCGCTCCTGAGTGCTCACTTGGGAGCCGTCCTCCATGATATGCAGCGTGAAGTCGATCTCCGGTACGGGCTTCTTGTCCACCACTGCTCGGTGTAACGGACCGTCCATCTTGATTGTCGGGTGCGCTCCTGGCGCGAAGGGTCTTTACGACGGTTGAAATGTCTCAGCGTTGAATTTTGATAGAGGAAGCAAGGATATCGGCGAGTTCGAGGAGGAAAAAGGTCAGCACAGTTGGTAGTGGCAATGCTAGCGCCGGGAGGAATAATTGTCGGTGGTGTTGCTCGTTCAGGAGGAGGGGTTGGATCGGTCTTTTTGGAGACGACTCAACGTAGATGATCAAGAAGAGTGACGGACTTCTCAGAAGCTGTCGCGAAGAAGATTGGAATGCGGTGTCGGCGTCCAAGAGCTGAAAAATAAAAGTGGGCAGTGGGCAGTGGACAGTTGAAAATCGGGGGCGGCTGAAGCTGTAAGAGTTAAAGAGTCGGATTGTCGACCAGTTTCAGAAGGATTGGAATGTTTGGGGTCCAGATCCAGATCCAGTTCAGGCCAGGGCTGAAAATGCCCAAGACACCTAACCCACCGCGCACCCAACCTGCGAGGAGCCAGATGCTGAGTGATGGATTCAGTCAACTCGAAGGGAAAGCTTGGACCATGGGTTTGGACATGAGCAAGCTCCGAGAACTAAAAAGACATCATTTCCATGGACAAACTTGAACGGTGGAGGAGGGAGTGGCTTGCTTCAATTCAAAGAGGGGCAAAGTGGGAGGAGGACGCATTAGACTTCTAGGCATTTTCGCGGTGCTGCACGAGCTACTTCGTATATCATATGGGGTCCGACATGGAAGCGAGGCACGCGCCTCAGCTCCGTTCGCCGTACTGACGGTATTCCCTTCACGCCTCCGACCATAATATCTAGTTCGTTGTCATCATCAAGAGTTCCTGGTACCTTGACAGCACCCGGGTAATATTACGAAAGACCTCGTTCCCCAATCAGACTGCAGCCAGCTTGCAGTCAGGCCTGGAAGCTGTTTCCATCGCCAGAGTCATCACTCATCTCACCCTCAAGACAGGCTCCCCGCTATCCAAAGAGCTTCTCGAATAGAGATAGAAGTTCCACACAGACATGTTTGACACCCACAGTATGTGCCTGGCCATGGATCCCCCCACGCAAATAGTTCGAGACACTGACCACTTGACCAGAGCCTCATCCGCTGCTTGCGCAGGTCCCCTTGACGGTCTCACCTTTTCTGTCGTTGCCGACCGCTGTGACTCTTCCCTACACATTTCGATCTGTGCCCACGTCCCTTCCCCCTTCCATCATCGCTGAAAATGGCTCGGGGCAGCCTAAATATGTCACGTCCTCCTCCGGCCACTCTGCTCACCCGGATGATATTATCAACTCCTGTAGAGCCCTCCAAGACCACCTCAAAAAGGCTTCGGATGCTGCAGACAAGGCCATTAAAGAGTGGGAGCAAGATATCAAAGACCGGGATCTTGCAGAGAAGCGAAGAGTGGCGCCAGGTTGGCTGGACCGTGAAGAGAAGATACTGGAGCCTACAAAGGTGTTGAAGACGGGGCAAGAGCAGAATCTGCTAGATGGGCAGCCTGTAACTGTCATATCCGCGCCTGCGATGTCACCCAGTCGCGAAGGTGAGGAATTAGATCGAGCTTTTGGAGGTCTTGGTCTCAAGTGAAAGGATTTGAGTGCTTGTGCCACACCCTGAACAATCCCTCGGCCCTCTGCAAACTGCCGGTGTGAGACGGCCAATATCTAAGCGATGGAATTCCTAAAACTTTCGACTGTCCTGCTGGCAACCATCTAGTGCTATCCGTTGAGCCTGATGATGTTCCATCTCACTACGAGACGAGATACTTTGCTCAACTCCACGCTTTCTACGGAACTAGCCTCCACGCCGGACGCAATGACGAAGTTTCTAGAAGACCCGTTTGGGACATGGCAAACAACCCTACTCTTCATTGTCCTGCTCATGGCCTTGGGCATTTGTGTGGGTTTTCTAGGCACGCGCTACGCGGAGGTACTCAGATTCAACACCTTCAGCTACGACACACTTCCATTGACTCTCGAGGGGCGACAACCGAAGCGCTCGGCCAATGGAGGGGAAGTCGCGGCATGTCTGTTCGCCGAAACACCAATCACTCAGGCTAGCCGGTTGCATGACGACGACCAGTTCAACCTCAGACGACGACCTGGAACCGCAAATGTTCGGCCTAACTTCGTCGCGATTGGACAAGTTCAAGAAGGGACGATAGCGCAGAGAAGAGCGTCATTACCTACGGGCGCTGGAACAAACACGAATGTACGCGGCCGCCTGGAATTGAAGCCCGTGCAGATCCAAGAGAGTCAGTCGATGTTGTCAAAGAAAGCGATGTCTATGGTACGATTCGGGGCAGATATTACAATCATGAGATCGGCTTGGTTCGAAGAGGCCACTGACAACAAAGATTCTCGTTCAATCGATCTTTAATCTCGAAAATCCGAAATGCAGCCTACCTTCACGCCACACTGAATCCTTTGTCGAATAGCAAACCAAGTCTCCTATCATGTGGGAACTAGCATCACTAGGCAAATTCAAAGACGGTGTACGGAATACACTCGCCAGTTCGTATGGCTCTGTTTTGACCCATGGCTCTTCGCGTCCCGGCCGTCAATCTTGGCTTATCTCGGGCACAATGCATCTGTGGGCGACGCTGTTTGCTCGAGTAAATTGAACTCACTCCATAGCCAGACATTGGCACATGTGGCTGACATTTGCCTTTGCGGTGTCCTGGGCCATTCGTGATTGTGGAATGTTGGCCCTGTGACCGGACACACTCGGCCTTGCAATGAATTTTCCATGAAACTTTCCAACTTGTTCTTTTCTTTTTCTCGCCAGATTCCCCCGGTCGTTTCCACCAGGTAGACAACCCCATCAGACTCTGACGATTCGGTAATACTCCAGCTTGCGGTCAATTATGGGTTCTTTAACTTCAGAATCCTTACATTTGCGACAGAAATACCCAGTCGGTCGTTGATAATCACCTGGAGCGACTTGCGCAGATCTCAACACTCGGGGATGGAGGACCATCACCAGCCGTGGCAAATATACCAAGCTCCATCATGACTCCTGGTTCGCAACCTTCTGTCACTGTTTGCTCCATAGTGCCACCAGCACTTCCCCGGCCCAAACCACTTAGAGGACACCCAAGGACGAAAATTTCACTTCATACGGAAAGGACGGCTCAGTGAGCTTGCTTTTCATCACCAAGGCCGCCAGGGCGGCCTGGCAATGTTCGAAACTGCCAATAGAACATCTCGATGGTCTCGGCGATGTTTTCAAAGCCCTTACGTCAGTGAGAGCGCGTCTGGTGTGATCCTCCCTTACGGAGTCTGCTACCCGTGAGCAATGTGTAATCGCCGGCTAGACGGAACATCTATGAGGACTGATTCAAAAGGTTTTTGCGTTCGACGGCAAGACGGACCTGGACGGAGTGGAAGTTCCTCCCCCAAGACGCTTGGCTTGCAGTCCCGTCCAATCCTATGACAATGCCATGACTCCGCTGGCTCGGTATTTGCTTGGCAGTCTTCAGTTGCCAAGAGTGCCGCACGCCGCTGGCCTCCTCCGAATGCCCATGGTTCCTTGCGCCCAACATCTCCACGGCCACGAGAGAATTGTTCTGCTACCGAACGCTTGCTGAAAATGTTTCGGACCATGGTGCTTCATGGCGTTTCAGAAGCCCTTTTCTTTGCTGTGTTTCCAAAAACCAGGCCCTGATATCTTTGTTCCGCACAAGTCCCATCAACCGTGGCCACGGCTCCGTGGGAAAACACTGCCAAGTACGTAGTGACCCGGACAATGATAAAGACATACCTTTGGCTTCCGTCATGCTACGTATTTTGCCCCTGCAAGACCCACAGCCAAGCTTGATGCGGCGCTCCCGAGTAACATACCTATCAAATCATTCCCCACCCATTTTGGCTCCCAGGAATATATCAATGGCGCATACCGTCCATCATCGTGGGGGCATGGTAAGTTCTACCTTACAAAGTGCAGGAAGGTATTAGGCCTCAACAATGGAGAATCACACCTCAGGCCAGAGCAACAGACCCTTGTCTAAGCCAGCACATGCTCTCGAACGAGATGATCTCGTCCAGCAACTGGACAGCGACACCCAGAACGGCTTGACTGCGGCAGAGGCACTTCAGAGATTGCAGGACTATGGCCGCAATGAATTGGATGATGGCCCAGGTGTCCAGCCATTAAAGATTCTCTTGCGTCAGATTGCCAACGCCATGATGCTGGTTTTGATCCTGGCTATGGCAGTTTCCTTCGGGATTCAGTCCTGGATTGAGGGAGGCGTTGTCACGGCAGTGATCATTCTAAATATTGTGGTCGGCTTCTTGCAAGAATTTCAGGCTGAGAAAACGATGGACTCGCTGCGCTCACTTTCTTCACCGACCGCCAGTGTTGTCCGCGACGGTAGCAACATCACCATTCCTACAGCAGAGCTCACCATCGGTGACCTCGTCGAGCTTAAAGTGGGAGACACAGTCCCTGCCGACATTCGGTAAGTTTTAGGCAAGCCTCGGGTAATCTGAATTCTCTCATAGTCGACAGACTACTGGAATCCATCAACTTCGAGACCGATGAAGCGCTCCTCACTGGAGAGTCTTTACCCGTTGCCAAGGATGAGGAAGCCATATTCGACGAAGAGACGGGTCCCGGAGATCGGCTGAATACTGCATTCAGTTCTTCCACCGTCACGAAAGGTCGAGCCAGAGGAATAGTCTTTGCGACTGGTATGTACACAGTAAGTGACTTAACATCCAGTTGACGATGAATGCTACGACGTCTGTTTCTGAATTCCATTGTCATTCTTGGTCTCCGTGCGCCGTACTGTGAGATGATTCTCTGATATACACTCGCAGGAAATTGGATCGATAGCGACCGCCCTCCGTCAGAAAGACTCAAAAATTCGCCCTGTCAAGCGGCGAGAGGACGGCACTGCACACCCCTTACGCTACGTCGAGTCCTGGACGCTCACGTTTAGCGATACTGTCGGTCGCTTCCTCGGGGTCAACATCGGGACGCCGCTTCAAAAGAAACTCTCTCGCCTAGCAATCTTACTTTTCGGAATTGCTGTTGTCTGTGCTATCATTGTTCTTGCCGCCAATGAATTCTCTGATCGATCTGAGGTCATCATCTATGCTGTCGCGACTGGCCTCTCCATGATTCCGGCGTCGCTGATTGTTGTCCTTACTATCACTATGGCTGTGGCTACGAAGAGAATGGTCCAACGACACGTCATCGTACGGAATCTCAAGTCATTAGAAGCCCTCGGTGCTGTCACAGATATTTGCTCGGACAAGACCGGAACACTTACTCAGGGAAAAATGGTTGCCAAAAAATGTTGGATCCCCGCCCGTGGCACCTACACAGTCCGAACTTCCAATGAACCTTTCAATCCCACTATTGGGGATTTGATGCACACCGAAGCCTCTCCAGCAGAAAGCAGCGAGAAGGGCCTTGAAGACGGTCCTACAGCCGAGCCCTTCAAGCTGCTGGAAGATAATGACGAATTGAGGGACTTTTTACTAGTCGCTTCACTTTGCAACCTTGCACGCGTTCACCCTAACAAGGAAGGAACCTGGGTTGCCATTGGTGATCCAACAGAAATTGCGATCCAGGTTTTTGCATACCGATTTGGATTCAACAGGCAAAGGTTTCTCGACCCGAAGAATGCCAAATTGAAAGAAGTTAGTGAGTACCCGTTTGATTCCGATGCGAAAAAGATGTCCACTATCTTCGAGGATCTTCAGACAGAGGAGCAAACGATTTATACCAAGGGTGCAGTTGAACGTGTCCTCGATGCTTGCACTACCATTCAATGGGATGGGCCTGACGCCGTCGTCCTATCGGACGAAATGAAGGCAGCAATTCTAGAAAATATGGAAGCACTAGCTGGTCAAGGGTTGCGTGTCCTCGCCCTTGCGAGTCGGCCGTATAATCCCCGATACGGTCGCCGCGCCAGCCGAGAAGGCCCTCCTCCTCGGGAGGAAGTCGAACGTGATCTCACTTTCCACGGCTTGATGGGTCTCTATGACCCTCCGCGGCCGGAATCTGCGGGTGCGGTAAAGAGCTGCCACCGCGCAGGAGTGAAGGTCCACATGTTAACTGGAGACCATCCCGGCACGGCTCGTGCTATTGCTGCACAAGTTGGCATTCTCCCATCTGACCTGTCTTTAATCTCCCTACGAACGTCTCAAACTGCGGTCATGACGGCAAAAGAATTCGATCGCCTCAGTGACAAAGAGCTGGACGAGCTGCCGGACTTACCTTTGGTCGTGGCCCGATGTGCACCAAACACCAAAGTACGGATGATTGAGGCCCTTCGCCGACGAGGGGCTTTTATGGCTATGGTGAGTTCAAGAATCTTCGTTCCCAACCCCGCTTGTGGTTTCGTCGCTGACTTCGGGCAGACTGGTGATGGGGTGAATGACTCTCCTTCGCTGAAAATCGCCGATGTTGGCATCGCCATGGGACAAGGAGGTTCCGACGTGGCCAAGGATGCCTCTGACATTGTCCTAACGGATGACAACTTTGCTTCGATTCTCAATGCCGTCGAAGAAGGGCGCCGAATGTTCGATAATATCCAAAAGTTCATTCTCCACCTCTTGGCAGAGAATATCGCCCAAGCATGCACGCTACTTATCGGCCTGGCATTTAAAGACAGTTCGGGCCTCTCTGTCTTTCCTCTAGCGCCGGTCCAAATCATGTGGGTTATTATGATTACGTCTGGCCTGCCCGACATGGGCCTGGGCCTGGAGATCGCCGCGCCCGATATACTGGAACGGCCACCAATTTCGCTGAAAGCCGGCGTCTTTACCTGGGAACTTTGCTTTGATATGCTTGCGTATGGTTTGTGGATGTCTGCTCTGTGCTTATCATCCTTCCTTCTCGTGGTGTACGGATTTGGAGATGGAGATCTCGGTCTCAACTGCAACGAGTCATATTCCCAACAATGTGACACTGTCTTCCGGGCTCGAGCCACCACCTTTGTCAGCCTTACCTGGTTCGCCCTGTTCCTCGCCTGGGAAATGGTTGATATGCGCCGGAGCTTCTTCCGCATGCAGCCTGGCAGCAAGAGGTACCTCACGCAATGGTTCCACGACGTGTGGCGTAATCAGTTTCTGTTCTGGGCCATCGTTGCAGGCTTCGTGACTATATTTCCGACAATATACATTCCTGTAAGTAGACCTTCCTTGGATTTTATCCCTGAACGATGAATAGACCCACACCAAGAGAGAGAAAGAGGATGGCTGACATCATCTATAGGTCATCAACCACAAAGTCTTCAAGCATACCGGTATCTCATGGGAATGGGGTATAGTCTTTGTCGAAGCCGTGCTCTTCTTCGTAGGCTGTGAGACATGGAAATGGGCCAAGAGAGTATTCTTCCGCCGATGGCAAGCCCGACACGGCTCGGCTCCTAGCGACTTGGAGAGACCTGCATCCTCCAAGTCCGCCGCCTTCGGAGACTCGGACAGCGTAGGAGGCAGCTGCTCTCACGAGAAGGTACACACTGAAGGGCCAAAATGCGAACGGCGAGGTGAAGTTGCATGCGAAGTTCGGCACACGTGTGCCAAATCATACGGGAAAGAATATATATAAAGAATGGATGAGAGGACGAGATGCACGTTTTACTGCTCACAGTGACAAATCGCAAGCCCAGTTAGTTCTCATTGATGAATCAATCTCGAACAACTGGTTCCACAAGGACCGGGGGCATTTCCAACTTCAAGGAAACCAGGAATGAATCGGAGACGAAGACGGAGCTTGTTATTAAGTGGATATTATATAGATGGGGCGATGGAGATGGATTAGGGTGACGAAATGGCCATACCTACTAAGTTGTGCAACAACCAACAGCCCTAAGAGCCGCTTCATTTGCCCCCCAGGGCCCTTCTCTTTCAATAGCTCGACAACGGCTTCGGCTGAGACGTGGTTGAGACTCCTCGGCTCAGAGCAATTGCTCCGAGCGGGAGGATTCGGAACCAGTTGCCAGTATTTTTGAGTTTTGGTTTCTTCCTCGGACAACAAACTGGAGCACAGCTGGATAGACACAGACCTGCAGGACAATTCATTTCTGGTGACCCAGCTGGATCCAATATGCTGAGCGTGGCACGTGGGATTTCCCTCCCGTGGTCCGGCTGCGGACGAAAGGCACATGCGTCTAAGACAGATCAGCTCGAGGCTCTGGCGGTTCAACTGGCGCCCAATCCGCCTTGCATAAAAAAGCAATAACAACTCCACAATCGAGAACTGTGGGGTACGTGAAGGGGTCACCAGTCGGAAACCCCAGAGTGTCGTTGCTTCGAGGCGGGTTTCAAGGGCTGTCTGCGCACACAGCTGGGCCAGCGAGCCGCGGCCTCAGCTGCAGCTGAGCATCTTGGGGTCCGTGAGAGCTTCAAGGGTTTGCTGTACACATAATGTGGATGACGAAATGGACCAGACGAATCTACATATTGCCGAGCTCTGAGAAGAAAAAAAAAAAAAAAAAAAAAAACTTTGTCTCCGTGGTGCTGTTCTGATATGCATGCGAGGCGTTCGGCCGGCTTCTTGGTGCTCTCCACTCGACAGGCTCAGTCGAGAGAAACAAGAAGAAATCCACTGCTCTCTCTTTTTCAAGTGCACAGCAGCCCAGGCGAGCATTTTCTTTCTTTTGCCTCTTCTCTGCTTGACTGTCCCCCACGCAGGTCGAAACGCTCAATCCATGGACGTAACGATGGCTTCAGCGGGATCCCCTCCTACATCAGTCTCGCCTCCGCGCCAACCAACACATCCTTCTGTCATCAACGTGGTGTACCGTCCGGGTGACTTTAGCTCCTACAGCGTGTCAACCACGTCCCTTCCACCAGGAGCACTCATGGCCCGACTCACGAGTCCGCCGCTAACTTTTACGGACAAGAAGCGCTGGTCAAGCGTCCAAGTGTCGGAGAACAAGCACGTCGAGTTGAACTGCGACTTCCTCTACATCAACCACAGCTGCGAGCCGAGCTTGGAGTTCCACGTGGTTCCGGACTCGGACGAGCCCGTCATCGAAGTCAGAGTCGCCCGGCGGCGGGACGAGCACGGAAATCCAAAGGGTGTGTCTGTCGGCGATGTGTTGACCTTCTTCTACCCCAGCACCGAGTGGGAAATGGACCAGCCCTTCCAATGCAATTGTGGGACAAGGAGCTGTAAAGGGCGCATCAGCGGGGCCAAAGATCTGACCAGCGAACAGCTGAGAGGATATTTCCTCAACGCCCATATTGAGGATCTGAGGAGCATCCCCTCCGACGGTGAAGGGAACAAGCGGCGTGCGCAGACGCAGGGTGGTTGGTAAGAGGGTACATACATATATGTACGGAGTAATTCATGTAAAGCCCGTCACACAGGCCGCGAATGAGTGGGAACTACCCAACTATCGACGCCACGCTTCAAGTCACCATGTCTGCCCCCCGGAACACAGTGGCCATCGTGGGTTGAAGATTAGGGTCGCCCGAGCTGGTGAGATTCACCGTGCCCGCTACACTTCATCGCGCTTGTTGCGTGTCTCCCTTTCTTCCGCGTTCTTCCCTTCTTTACCACGATTCATGCGTACCCTGGTTTGCTATACCGGGCCTGGGCAGGCCCGCCTTCCCGCCGCTCGTACTGATGGCATGCTCTTTTTTTCAAGAACCGGTCCTTGCCGCTGGTATTGGGTTGATCGCTGACTGCGGCAGAGATCCTGGTATTTGATTAGATGTATGCTATATTTGGGGATCTGTTCAACAAACTTTCAAGCCTTCAGGAGTAGTGGCAAGTGTATAAGCCCTGGATATATGGAATTTCGCCTCCTGTTTTCCTTTCTTGACTGCCTTGCAATGCATGAGAATGAGGAAGGCCGCCACGAAGCCCGATGGTATCACATCAGCAAGGAAAACGACGCATGTCTTTCTCACCGTGAGAGAACCCGACGGGATGGCAATCGAAGTTACTGTGCATTGATCATTCCTGTGATACTATCACGTTCGATGAAGGGCCGTATTAAATACAGTATTAACTTAGTTTCTCTTCTTCTGAGGTCGCAAATCCATCGCAAGCAAAGAGCTTCAACAGGGCGTCATATTTCAACTGTCAATCCAAGATTATTAAATCAGATCCATGAAGCCTAGGTAGGTACTGCAACAGTATATGGTGATATTATGGTGGTGAATGGTATTGAACACGGCGATATGTAGCTCAGCCGAGGCTGTTGCGAGGCGTACATGTCCTTGCCGACATCGCATCGATCATTCAGGTATCCGCGTCATGTTCGATGGGTGCTCAAACACGCAACATACTCCTTCCAGAATTTTCTGTCAGGAGGGAGGCAAACTCAATATAAGCAAAGAGCTCCAATTGCGAGTGATACCTCCAGTATCGATTTATAGCCTTTGAGTATGTTGGGACTCCGTGGTAGAAGGAGATCGGACCAGCTTCGGTTCTGTGCGTTTTCTCTCACATCTGCGAACATGTCGCAGGAGATGGGCGTTCCTCGGCGAAGTGTAATTACAGCGAGGGCACTTGCTGACACAGCAGCCTCGGAAGTTCTTTCCTCAATGCTCTCGTGTACCGTCTTCCTGTTGTAATGGGAGAAGTTTGAAGTGGTGGATAGCGTTATGATTGGCTGGGGCGCCGACCCTAGACTATGGTTCTTCTTATATAGTCCTGGGGGACTATCCTTCATAGAATGAACAATAAACCAAGTTACCAACAGAGAGGACTTCCCCTAGTTGAGTGTGCGTGTTGGGAAGAGGCTATACCCACCGCCGTACGAGTTGATACCCATGGCTAGTAGCCTCGCCCCAGTTCACTGTGACGTTGGAGATTTCGACGGCCTTTGAGACCACTCCCACAGATATTGCACAAAAGGATTGGCTGCTCTTGATGTTCCTTAATGTGTGACCTTTCATACGTTAACGGAAGCTCTATGGAGCTTTGTCGACGAAACCATACCTATACAGTGACCCCCGGGCGCCGAATGTCATTGAACAGCGCGGATACGGGCATTGCACAAGAGGTCAACGGTTGATAGAGGGAAGCTGTTGCTCTTGATCTTGTGCAATCGTTGACATTAGACTGGAAGACTGCTGCGACATATCCATATGCATCTCTTGTGATAGTTCACGTAAGGTCTCTTCCCTCTCTTCATTGGTGAACTTCACCCATGGGTCTTCATTTTGTCCGAGAAACGTATCCCAAGTGTTATAGCTCACGGGCGCTGTCCCGGGGAGAGCATCCAAGTCAGGTGGAGGCGACGACAGCTGCTGGCTGCCGGTGGAAGAAGTCGAAGGTTCCGAGTTGGCAGTGTCGTCGTATTTCCCAAACGCACAGTGGAAATTGAAAGCACCGAAGGGGTCTTCCTCCAAGTTAGGCAAGTAGCCAACCGAGTTGGGAAAGTAGGCAGTGCCAGAAAAGGGTGTTTTAGCAAAGCCACTGTCCGGACTTGAATTCTCTTGGCCAGTCCATTGCAATTGCTCAAAGGTTGAATCGCAAAGCAAGTTCTGGGTTTTAAATGCGGCTGTCGAGATAGGTAAAATATTTGCGTCCAGATTCAACAGCTCGGAGTCTTCAGGTTGTGCTAGTCCAACCGTCCAGCCGTTGGGGAAGTAATTGCCATCATATCGTACATTCCGAGCTGAATTACAGCTCAAAAACTTGAAGTCATCACATTGGTCGTGTCGCGTCGGCTCAATGAGCCTGTCGCGGGGGAGATAGTGGTCATACCATCCTAGGCGAGGTGGAAATAAGTCACAACAGGACCGATCATGATGTTGGTTGGCCTGAATGGCAAGGGCGGGAAGACGTAGTCGGGTCTTCGCATGACGGCACCACTTTCCAGAGACGTTAAGAAGAGCTTCGATCACATAATCGGCGGTAGGCTTCCAGCGTTAGAGAAAGAGTAGATTTGCCTGAAGCGGCTTTGGATACACAGATCAAGTCGCGAAGAAATCAGGGCCTGCAGTGCGAGATGATACGAGAGGTAGAACAATCGAAACCAATAAGTCTGACCACCAAGTTTTGCACCAACCCTGTTTTACACCACGCGTTCTACCACCCCACCACCTCTCTACCAACTCAATCAACCAACTACCACTCAACCAATTCGCCTTTAATCACGCGTAAATGGCCTCGAATCGAGAGGCTAGGATCCAGCAAGCAATCTCTGACTATCAATCACGTCGATATCCTAGCATTCGCGCAGCCGCGGCCGCGAACGATGTCCACCACTCCACGCTCGTCCGCCGACTACAGGGCACTCAATCGGCCGCGTTATCCCACGAACCACAGCAGATATTATCAAATATACAGGAGGAACTATTAAAGAGATGGATACTCGACCTTGAGGCACAAGGACATCCTCCTAGCTATTCCACTGTGCGAGATCTCGCTGGTGTAATTAGTAAGGTAAATGGCGGCCCTGAACGCGTTAAAATTAATTGGCTACCACGGTTTATTCAGCGACATCCTAATATCCGTTCAAAGGTAGGCAGGAAGATCTATGTTAAGCGCGTTAATTACACACTTCCTGAGCTTCTGGAACAATGGTTTCAGGATCTATAGACGATCAAAGAGCGATATTCAATTCAACCTCGATATACCTAGAATATAGATGAATCTAGATTAGCCCTAGGCGTTTGCAGCAATCAAATCGTTGTGGGAACATCTACAACCACTAGTTCATTGCAAAAATCGCCCGAGACACGCGAATAGGTAACGCTCGTTGAGACAATCTCGGCCCTTAGTCAACGTCTACAGACGCTAGTCATCTTCAAAGGTTAATCGCTTCAAACTACTTAGTTCGACGAGTCTAGTCCAGATTATCGATATACAATCTCTCTGAACGGCTGGACATTAAACGAAATCGGACTAAGCTGGCTAGATCAGATCTTTCTACCTCAAACAACTATAGAAGGGACTACTCGCGGCGAGTATCGACTTTTACTACTGAATGGCTATAAGAGTCATGTTACGCACGAGTTTATGTAGAAATGTCACCAAAATAACATCGTGGTGTACTACTTACTACCCCATTCGAGTCACATTCTTCAGCTACTTAATCTTGCTTGTTTTTCGTCAGTTAAGTCTCGTTATCGAGCGTAGATCGCTGATCTAGCTAGGTTCGACGATGCAAGCCTAGTAAAGAAAACGAGGTTTCTACAGATCTATTAGAAAGCTAGCTAGGAAGGTCTCAGTGTCGCCAATATTAAGTCTGGCTGGAACGCCAGTGATATCTATCCATGGAATCCACGGAAGGCAATTCGATCGAATCTCGTTCTTACTAGCGCCGTAACTAACAAGATTACGCCACAAACACCACCTTCTCGCAAGCGTAAAGTCCTCGATAGCGATGTCTATCTATCGCCTAGTAATAGACGAAATTTCAGCGATTCAGTTCACAGAGCAACACATTAGGAAGGGATCTCAAGGCCACTGAGAACCTTCCTAGGAAAAACGGCTAAACGACTCGATCGTTTATAGTGGGAGAATATACAGAAGGATAAATAAATCGCTAGGCTTGAGTCTCAACTAGAGCGATCGAAGGCCAGGAAACAAAAAGGCAAGGCAATTAATGCCAACGAGACCTTTGCTAGCATCGAGACTATACAGCAGGCCAAAGAGGCATGGGCGACATTGAGAGCGACAACGACAACGACGCGGAGGACTAGGCAGTCTATAAACAACGGGAATGGCACGTCTAATGACCCAATCGAGGCGTTCACACACGTGTTCCACATCAACGATAGTGTTAGTTGAGTAATTGAGACTTGTTCTGTTACGGTCGCGATTCGATTAGGTGGTGTAAAACGGGGTTGGTGCAAAACTTGGTGGTCAGACTTAAAATCCAAGAGGATTGACGGATAAAGCCTAACCCTTGAGGGCAGGTTACGCGATCACGTGTGCTACTAGCGTACAGGTCTTGGCACTGCAGGATTCTCTCCATCAAAATCTCTTCTGCCACTGGACAGATTTCTCTTCCGTATTCAATCAGTCACGTTATCAGCACCCTTGGTCCATCAAGGCTGCCCCCAAGCTGCCCCTTAGCCTTCCCACTGAAGTGGTCTAGGGTTGGCCTTGGAGGCTACGAAGGACAGAAATCCGGATGGGGATTCAGGAGATATTTAATGTTCTCACCCCGATCAGGTTGTCATACTTGCGAAGAACTGATTTCGTGGCCCCTCAAATGCAAGGCGTCACATCATCACATGCAGAGATGGGATTGATTGGCCTCTTCCTCCCACATCATTCTCCAATATTTTGGGGCCGTTGTTTTGTCCAATCGTTAAGTGCGAAACAGCTGTCAGCCGCTCCGTTTGCAGATACGAACTTGTATTGCAGTGGCAATCCGTTTGGGGACGTCGCCCGATCCAATCAGCCAAATGGCATGAGGAGCCCGAGAGAGCCCTCAGGTTCCATTCCCATGCTTGGCTAGGCGGTCTGTTACCACCATCCTGAACACCAGTGAAAGCATCCTTTCTGACACTATCGCGTCGTTTATCATTGACCGGGGTTTCCAATGTGTTTCGTGCAATAATGGAGGCTGTGAGAAAGGCGGTACGAAGTGATCTGGTAATCACGATAAGAATGTTCTTTGAGGCCGAGGCGTGCCTGCTCACCTGAGTGCAAAGACGGTAGTCGCTGGTGGGAACCCGCACATCTGCTTGGAAGGCTTTCCCGAACATAACGTCCGCACGGCCAGAGCTGTCTAGACGAAAGTGAAGAACGTGTGTTGAAATCTGGTGATTAGCCTGAAGAGTGGCTCGAGGCTGAATATTTGGCCAGCATCGAGACACAGTCGCGCCGACAAGCCCCTGGAACCCAGCCTTGCTCAGCCTTGCTCAGCCTTGCAGTACCCACCAAGCCATACAATACGTAGACGCTCTGGTGTGATTGCGCATGCAAAGCCTCCGAGAACGTCCGGACTACTTCGGCAAAGGAGGATGAATCATATCGAGAATCGGATTTCATCGACAAGAGGTTGTACTGGCGTCCATCCCGTATTCATCGTTTTGGCAACCTCCGGGTCCAATAAAATTCCTACACTGGTGGGAACGTGCGGGAAGGGAAAATGGAGCATCAATAACCCGCGAGTCGGTAAACTAGCCAAGCTCAGTACCGTGGAACGAATCGGTAGATGTCTTGGATGGATTTGGGGCAAGTGTCTGAAGTGGGTGTATTAGGACCATGCTGGAGATGCTGGAGTGTGGCTAGGTAATCAATTTCCCGTACTTCCTCTTAGCTCTCCTTGGCTAGCGGAGATTTCTGGGAGATGCAAGTATATAAACTTACAAGATGCAGAAAAGTCTTCGGCATGCTCGACAGCAAGACTAGTTATTAACTACCTTGTTACCGGCACTTTAATCTTCCCTTTTCTCCGCAACGGCTTTTTAGGATCACTGCGAAATAACAGACATGGCAGCCAAGTACATAATCAAGAACGCAACAGTCGTCTCCATGGATGAAAACATTGGAAACGTCTCTAATTGCGACGTATTGATAGAAGATGGAATCATCAAGGCGGTCGCCCCAGGTTTGCCACATTCTTCAGATCATACCATCATAGATGGGACCGACGCCATCATCTCGCCGGGTTTCATCGACACCCACAGGCATACCTGGCAAACCCAACTCAGAACCCTCTGTACCGACTTCGTCTTGGCCGATTATCTCCTGACTCTGAGGCATATCTACGGCTCGTGCTACTCGCCCCAGGACACTTATATTGGGAACTATTGCGGAGCTCTCGAGTCGATCGACAACGGAATCACTTATTTGGTTGACCACTCTCACATCATGAACACGCCCGAGCATGCAGATGCGGCGGTCAAAGGCCTCAAAGATGCCAGAATCCGAGGAACCTTCTGCTATGGGTTTTATCCAAACCCAGCTTGGGAGGGTTCTAATATGGACAAAACGAGAGAAGAGACGACACCAAACTGGAGATTGGAAGATGCTAAACGCGTTCGACAAATATACTTCCCATCTAACCGACCTGAGGAGCTCTTACGGTTTGGCGTCGCGCCGGCAGAGGCTGAAGTGGTCCCTGTCGACCAACTAGTGCACGAGATCGAAGTGGCCAGATCTCTAGGCGCCGCGGTGATTACCGCCCATGTCGCTGTTGGGAAATACGACTCGGGCCACTTCACAACCCGCCAGCTCGACGGGAGAGGCCTGCTCGGCCCAGATCTGCTATGGAGTCATGCCAATTCCTTGCAGGATGACGAGTTGCAGGCTGTGCAAAGGAATGGCATGGGACTGTCCACGACGCCAGATATTGAGATGCAGATGGGAGGCGGCCACCCCATCGCATTCAAAGCGCGGGAGTTTGGATGTTCTGCTGCTCTTGGGGTTGACATCTGCTCTAACTGTCCAGCGGACATGTTCCAGCAAATGCGCCTCTTGCTTCAGGCCCAAAGATGTGTTGATCAGGAGAAAATCTCCGGCCCTCCTCTACGGATGACACGGAAATGTGCGGAGGTCCTTGAAATGGCCACGATGGGCGGCGCCAAAGCGGTTGGGCTGGAGAAGTATATCGGCAGCATTACTCCGGGCAAGAGAGCAGATGTATTGATTGTTAGATGTGACTCAACCAGACTGGTTCCAGTCCTCGATCCCGTAGGGGCGCTGGTGCTTTACGCCAATGGCTCCGACATCGACACGGTCTTCATCAACGGCGAGATCGTCAAGTCTCAAGGTAAATTGACGAATGTGGACTGGCCCAAGGTCCGTGCAGAGCTACGGGCGTCCGTGGCATCCATCTTGGAACTATCAAACAAGGCTCCAGTGCAAGATCTGGACGCCGCACGTGACGCCATGGTGCGC